GCCTATCTTGCCTTCTGAGAAACCCTGATCTCCTGAAAAACTCATTATCATGGAATTAGTGCAATTTGAAACCTATCTCAAAGACAATGGTATATTTCCAGAAAGTGGTGTTTAAGGCTGAGCGCTCCTCGGTAAAACCAACCCCCAGACTCCTAGTTAGAGGCTTGCTCATAAGAGATACCTAAGGGACTAAAGTAGTACTTTTGTGCCTCAACGGGACAATTTTTGAGAATGCTACTCACAAATTTAGGAGCCAGAAATCCCATGTAGACACAATCCCATTACAACTGAAAAAAGTACTTTTATGGAAAGATTATCAAATGAAAATTTATCAAAAAAAAGCAATGTTCAATTTGAAATAAGAACAATACTATATTTCATGTTGAACTAGTAATGCTTTTCTTAAATTCAGGTGAGACCTATAATACCTTAGTACCAAATACAGGATTAAACCTAAGCCACCTGGTACATCTTGTCAATGCTTTAAGATTATTTTTATTGGGGCCCAGCACAATAGTGTAGTTGTTAAAGTCCCTGCCTTGAACACGCCCAGGATCCCATATGGGCGCTGGTTCTAATCCCAGCAGCTCCACTTCCCATCCAGCTCCCTGCTTGTGGTCTGGGAAAGCAGTCAAGGATGGCCCAAAGCCTTGGGACCCTAAACCTGCGTAGGAGACCTGGAGGAGGTTCCTGGCTCCTGGCTTCGGATGGGCTCAGCTCCACTCATTGTGGCCACTTATGGAGTGAATCATCGGACGGAAGATCTTCCTCTGTTTTTTCCTCTGTATAGCTTTTCAATAAAAAAAGTAAAATTTAAAAAATTGTTAAAGAAAATTAGTTTTATTGGAAAAGCAAATTGACAGGGAAACAGATCTTCCATCTGCTGGTTTACTTCCCAAGTGGCCATAATGGCCAGAGCTGAGCTGATAGGAAGCCAGGAACCTCCTCCTATTCTCCCATTTGGGAGCAGAGTCCCAAAGCCTTGGGCCATCTTCGGCTCCTTTCCCAGGTCAGAAGCAGCAGGCTGCAACGTAAGTGGAGCAGCTGGGACACAAACCAGTGCCCTTATAGGATGCCAGCGCCGGCAGATGATTAGCCAAATGAGCAAAAGCAGTGCCTTCCAATATCAATTCTTAATTGTATTTCTGGTTCCCAAGAAATGTAATCAGAGAACTGCCTAAAGCACCCTTACTAAGTGCCCCACACTTTCCTCCGCGTTTAGCTTGTTCACCCATTTTTCTTTCTGCCAAGTCTCCAAAAGTGAAGTAGGTCACTAATGCTTTTCTCTCACACACATTTGGATCTAAAACACTGCACATGGTGTCTTTCTTTCCTTTGAGGCAATGACCTAACAGTCCAATTACTTTGCTTTTCCCATGGTGTCTAACAGTGATAATCCAACAAAAATATCTAATGAATTTCATTAGACAATCATACAGGTAATTTTGTTTTTCCTTAATTATCTACCAGTGACAACAACAGCTGTTCAGTTATTACAACATTCCCATCCCCTGGCTCACTCCATAAATGCCTAGGTAAGGAGCCAGGAACCTAATCTGGGTCTCCCATGTGGATGGCAGCCACTTGGCTACCTAAGCCCTCACCTGTGCTTCCCAAGGTGCAGGTGCCCTCTGGGGGTCTTCATTGCTAGGCCAAATGCTCACCCTTACACTCACTTCTGGTAACTGTCCTACTTGCCTTCTACTAAGAGAAATGACAAAGGGCAGGGTTGTCCAATGGGAAAGCAAATAGCACCTCCCTCATCAGGTTTGTTTACCATGGAGGTGGGAATAGTAAACAATAGGAGAGGCCATGTCTGGTTACTGAAACCTCACAGCCTTCTCAGCATCATGTTCCTACAAACTAAAGAGCTAATTTCATTGTTAGGTGCCTCTGACAAGAATTTTTTTTTAGGGGGCCACTCTACAAGATGCAGAAAACCTTGCTAAATCTTGTTGGTCAGTAATGCCTACTTGCCAGAATATTACTCTAATAGCTTGCAAGTGAATTTTGTAAGCTAACCAGAGAATCTTTTCCCAACAGTAAATCCCATGGATGAGAACATATCCATTTCCAAACAGGGCATTGATTCAAACGTCCCTCCCTTAGTCTGGCTATGGCCCAGTATTGACGACACTGCCTCCCTCCATCCCTCCAGTCAGTGGATTTTTGCAACTACAAATTACTTAAATGTCTGACAAACGACCTTTAACAAAAAAGTTAATTGCGCCAAGTAAATGTCAATAAAATGAAGATTGAAAAGTCTTATTTTTTTTGACAAGGCAAATTAATCTTGAGGGATACTGTTCAATTGCTAATTATTATCAGTGTGTTGAGAAAAATGCTCGTTCATTTTTAAAATCAGAGATAATGCAATGATGAGGCCAAAAAACAGCTGGTGGCACTGTTTCCTGCTGTAATTTAGTGAAGCATAAGGTGTCAGTACTTTCATATGCAATATTTGAAAACGTTACTATGTGGGCAGTACAGTTTGGGATGAAAGAAGGTAAAATTACAAATAATTTGTGTAGGATGTCGAACATTTCTAATATGCCAACCCACTTAAAGTTCAATAAAGTACAAGAATTTTAAATACTTTGGGGTAGATTAACAACTGTTGAGTTTCCATAAAAGTGATAAAATCAATGTAGTGGACTGGATGGTTAGGTTGATTCACTAAAGGGTTTCAGAAAAGCAAACTAATCGTTTTGATTAGTTTTTCCTAGAATAAAAATGGCACCCTGAGGCTTTCATTATCAAAACAATAAATAGGCACTGAACTTACTTAACTACCTAGAAAAGTAAACTTGGAGCTGACACACAAGTGCTATAGGTCTTTAGGATTCCTCGCCCTGGCAAAGGAGCGAGGTTACTCTGAAGCAAGGACACCTACCACATCACTTCTGAATTTTAAAAACTCTTACCAAAGGAACAGAAAGAGATACTGTTCCTCTCATAACATTTCCTCTTCTTGTGCCTTTTTGTAAATAAAAAGCTACCTAATGTTTTCAATTGAGCATCCAAAACCCGGGGACTTTTGCAATTACAACATATATAAATCAAACACCAATTTTCGAAGAAAAAGCACTAAGACTCACCTTCCTGTCTCGGTGAAAATGAAATTGAAAAAAAAAAAAATGCAAGTATCTTTTTCCCCCATGCAGACTTCAAGAGTACTTAGCATATCAAACAATTTCACTAGTTATGCAAACCACAATTTCTCTATCAAAATTAAATTTTCCTATTAGGATGCGTGGTCACTCATTAAAATGTTCCAGGCTTTATCTTGAAACCATATTATTTCCAACTTCCCGATCCCTTCCTCCATATGAAAATGCAATGCCATAAATTTAAAAAGCACAACGTGAGAATCCAACCCCCCAACCGCTACCAATTTGATTGTCCAAAGTTATAACAGAAATAAAAACGAAGCCACTCAACGCACTGTAAAAAGAATTTATTTGTTTGCTTTTTACAATTAAGCAGTATATCAATTCATTCTTCTCATTCAAAAAGTTGTAAAGTTGAAACAGAAACCTGAAATTGCTTTAGTTTTACATTTAAAAATAAAAAGCTAAAAGGAGAGTACATGCCAAAAAAAAAAAAATCAGTTCTAAAATGTTAAAGCATAAACTTTGCAGTTACGGGGTCTACTCCCCAAAGCCAACACAACAGAAAGGCTCCTGCCCACTCACACCTACAACTGGAGAATGAGGCAAAACAGGTACCGGGAGACTAAAATACAACCTCGACTGCTCCGAGCAGCGTTCGCGCGACTGAAGGGGAAAGTTCTCCGTGCCAGCAGTATCTTCCACAATCCCACTCCCTCCGCCGAGAGCGAATCCCACAGCTCAGCCCCGCGCTCCAGCCCTCTGCCCCGCACCCCTCTGCCGGAAAACGTGAGGCTAACGGTCTCGGCGGGCTGTCCCGGCGCCCCGCAAAACAAAGGGGATTCCCGGCCATTGTCCTCCTCGGCGGCGCTGAGCATCACCAGCACTAGCAAGGCAGTAGCTTGCGCAGTTATCTCCACAGCGGGCAATGTCACAACCCGACCAACAGCACAAACTACTACCTCAGCCAGGGCCATGGTGTAGGCGAGGCGCCGGTGCCCGCGCGGGGCGGCCGGGCAGCTGGGGCGCTCCTCCGTCCTTCCTCCGCCGCGCCCGGAGACCCCGCCCAGCGCCCGGGAGCCCCGCGCCCCTGCAGCCGAGGCGAGGGCGGCGTTCTCCAGAGAGCGAGCGAGCGGCGGCCACGTCCAGCGGGGAGAGCCGCTCCCAAGACGGCTCGTCCCCCAGGGCCGCTCGAAAGCAGGAAATGGGATGGGCGGGCAAAAAAAAAAAAAAAACCCGCGGGGAGACGCCGGACGTTCCCCGAGGGCAGCGAGCGGCGTTCCCGCCACGTCCCGGGGCTGCCGCGTCGGCGGGGGAGGCCGCGCCATGGCCCCCAGCCGCCGCCCGCGCCCCCGAGCACGCCCCGCCACGCCACCCCGGGCTCCGCCGAAGCCCGGCAGTCCCGCGGCGGTCCGTTCCCCATACCCTTCGGGGAAATCCCGTACAGCGCTGCAGGAAGCCGAAAGCAGAACAAAACAAAACAAAAACCCGTAAAAGCCGAAGGCCGACCGGGCGCCGGCTGGGCGCGCCGCGCACACACGAGCCGCCTCGCGCTCCGCTGCCCCAGTGCGTCCGGACGAACCATAGAGATCACTTATGAAGGAGGCTCGCGCGCTGCTCCCCACCACGTGACGGCCCCGCCAGGCCGCGGCCCCCACCCCCCGCGCCGCCATCTTACATCCGGGACCCAGGCGGCGTCCCCGTTCTCCGGCCGGCATCGACTCCCGCAGGGGGACCCCGGCTCCACGTCAGCACTGAGAGGAAAAGGCCACGAGCCGTGCTCCCCGCGTGCCCCCGCGCCTCGGCCTGCCCGGAGTCCGCCCCACCAGCCGCGGGGGGAGCGCCCCCAACTTCTTCCCGCCCGGTGCACGTAAAGATGGCGGCACTCACCTCTTCCGAGGTGGACACGTTGTACTCTGGCCGGGGCTCCAAGTTTCCGGCACTTCCTTTCCCAGCCGGCAAAGACGGGGCCGTGGGCGCCCCACCCCCGCGGCGTGGCCCGAGCTCCGTGCCGCGCACCAAACCGGCGGGAAAGCAGCTGCGCGCCTCGCCTCACTGCGCAGGCTCCCAGGGCTTTGCAGGCTTCCCCCCCACCCACCCCCTTTTTAAGAACAAGTTTTGGGAGCCGGCCAGGTGTCTTGCATCCTTGTCTTAACTTGGCCTAGCCAACAGTTTTTACCACATTTTTTTTGGCCCTGTAGGACGCTAAAGTTACCGGAGTTTGTCAGATAAAATACAAGATATTCAAATTGGAACGAATACTTTCAAAGCATATATCCCATGGATTTTTAAAAATGGATACTGGCTCTGCTGCTATGGTGGAGCGAGTTAAGTTGCGGCCTGTACCAGCACTCTTTATGAGGCCCTCAAGCTCCAGGTGTGACCCGCCTCCCTGCGTGCACCTGGGGAAGCGGAGGAAGCCCTGGTTATTGGGCTCCTACACCGGCGTGGGTGGAGGATGCCCCTGGTAACTGGCTTGAGCCTTGCCCAGTCCTGGGCCTCGCCACCATCTACGGATTGAACCAGTGGAAAAAAGACGCCTAACTTTGCTTTGCAAATCTTTTTTAAAAAAAAAAAAGTGTTTGAAATAGAACTAGATATCCTGTATTTTGTATTTATAAGGATTAATGTTTTTGAGGCCTAGACCAAGGTTTCATATAACTATATACATTCCACTGAAGGCCTGTGTTCCCTGCAAAAGTATGAACTCCATGGGGGCAGAGACTATCCCAGTGTCTAACATAAAATGGAGGTAGAATTTTGACACGTCAACCCTTAGTGACTTTTCCTAAGTGTGTGTTTTCCTTAACAAGCAGCCACGAAAGCATGAGAATCCCTAATGATTAATGCTAGAGAAAGCAAGAAAACAGCGATGAAGACTTGCTGGCTGTACAGTAAATGGCAAAAACCTGCCCCTGTTGGGGCCAATTCTAATAAACTCCTTTCTTGAATGGTAGGTGCCAAGTCTTATTTCTGTTACCACCCAGCACTTAACATGTGCCAGGCACGGTGCCTTCTGACACAACTTTTTAAAGAAATCTAATAATTAGTAGGCAGTGTATTAACCTACTTGCCAGAGGCTGCCAGACAGAAGGTTCTTAGAGCAGTAAGATCCAAGGCCCTCACGTCTCCAGGTGTCAGAGTTCACTGGGGAGAAAGCAGCAGCCAAACGCCAGGCCAGTTTCAGGTTTCTGGGAACGCAGGCTGTAGGGATAACTGCTGTGCATTGACAGGGCCACGGCTGGCAAAGCCCCAGGCGGCACGCATTCCCAAGACAGAGGCCTTTAAGGGACTTGTATAAATGGTCACGCTCTGCGACCTTTGGGCATGAAGTCCCAGGGCAGGGTTCCTGGCGGAATTAGATTGGTCCGTAAACAAAAGAGCCACAGGTGAAATCAAGTCAGAAACAGCTGCCTGGACAGGCACTAAGTTGTTCCTTTCTCGAACTGGAACTTTCTGACCTCTGCTTTCAAAAAATCATCTACTTATACTTGTCTTTTGCCATACATGCCACCCTCTCCCACCCTGCTCAAAGCTGCACTGGCTGTGGCACTACTAATTTCATTGCTCAGATGAAAATCAAATAGGATAATTCATTTGCAGGAAGTCAGATACTGTAAATAGCAGAACTGGGGCTGTTCTTACGAAGTCTTGACTTACTGCTTATTGTATAATCAGGTAAGATGTTTTTGACAAATTGTTTCAAACCAATACTGACCAATACTGAATACCTAATGGAGGTACAGTTACTGGACAAATCGATTTCCACAATATTTGGATTTCCTTGATATAGTTAATTGTATCTGTCTCAGTGCCTATTCATACAAACAGTAATCCCCTCAAAACTCTTTTGACTTATTTTAGTAAGGCTTGGATTTTAAGACTTGTAAAACATAAAACTAGCAGACTGTAGTCGAAAAAACAGCTTTTGAATCAAGATGCAACTGATTCACCCAAACTTTAAGGTGACTCAGTTGGGCTTCTAAACCTTGACTTTCTCTTCCTTGTAAGAGCACTGTGGGGATTAAAAGGAACACTGTAAGGCCTGGTGCTGTAGCCTAGCAGCCTAAGTCCTACCCTTGCACGCACCAGGATCTCATACGAGCCTCGCTTCCCATCCAGCTCTCTGCTTGTGCCTGGGAAAGCAGTGGAGGACGGCCCAAAGCCTTGGGACCCTGCACCTGCATGGGTGACTCAGGAGAGGCTCTGCGCTCCTAGCTTCAAATGAGCACAGCTGTGGCCATTGTGACTGCTTGGAGAGTGAATTAATAATGCACAGAATATCTTCCTCTCTGTCTCTCCTCCTCTCTCTGTATGTGATTTTCCAATAATTTTTTTTTTTAAAGGAACACTATAGGTCAAGCTCTGGCCTTCACACACTGCATACTTCAGAGACAGTGATTAAAACTAAGAATTAGAAAAATTACTGTAAATACATCTGACTGCTGTATATTCTTTTTCTGTAACATACTTGTATGACACAACTGAAAGGAATTTTTTTTTTTTTAAAGATTTATTTTTATTATTTTTTCATTGGAAAGGCAGATATACAGAGAGGAGAGACAGAGAGGAAGATCTTCCGTCCGATGATTCACTCCCCAAGTGAGCGCAATGGGCCGATACTATGCCGATCCGAAGCCAGGAGCCTCTTCCGGGTCTCCCACACGGGTGCAGGTTCCCAAAGCTTTGGGCCGTCCTCGACTGCTTTCCCAGGCCACAAGCAGGGAGCTGGAAGGGAAGCGGGGCTGCCGGGATTAGAACCGGCGCCTATATGGGATCCCGGGCGTGCAAGGCGAGGACCTTTAACCACTTGCGCCACCGCGCCGGGCCCTGAAAGGAATTTTAAAAGCAAATTATTTTTCTCTGAGAGTTAGAGAAAGAATGGTCTGGTATTGTAACAGACAGGATAGGCAGTATAAAAAATAGCCCAAGTTTTAAAAGTGCTCAAAGGACCCGGCGCAGTAGCCTAGTGACTTTGCAAACACCAGGATCCCACATGGGTGCTGGTTCATGTCTTTGCCGCTCTACTTCCCTTCCAGCTCCCTACTTGTGGCCTGGGAAAGCAGAAGCCGAAAGCCTTGGGACCCTACACCTGTGTGGGAGACCAGGAGGAGGCTCCGGGCTTCTGGCTTCAGATGGGCTCAGCTCTGGCCATTGCAGCCATTTGGGGAGTCAGCAGATGGAAAATCTTTCTCTCTGTGCTTCTCCTCTGCAGATCTTTCTAATAAAAATTAATCAGTCTTTAAAAAAATGCTCAAAATATTAATAGTCTTAGGTACATGAGGAATGGATTTCATTTGACCTAGAATTTTTACTCAAATAAGACTTTCCAAATTACTGAGAACATCATGTCTTTAGTATATGTATTCTTTTGTTTTTTACTTTATATTCGAATGGCTTTTAGATTCGACAAGCAGAGCAACAGATCTTCTATCCCTTTTCACTCCCCAAATGGCCACGAGAGCCAGTGCCAGGTCAAGCTGAAGCAGCAGCCCAGGACTCCAGCTGAGTCCCCCAGGTGGGTAGCAGGGACCCAAGGACTTTGGCTGTCCTCCTTTGCAAGGAGAAGGCAGGGCATCAGTGCTGAGAGCTGGCACCCTACTATGTAACAAGCAGCAGTACAGCCCACCGTGCCTCAACACTGCCTCCCTGTAAACTGACAGTCTCACACAACTCTCACAAACACTTGCCCTTTATTATGTTTCATAGTTCTTTTCCCAAATTGGCCATAGGTGTAGGATTTCCTAAATATATTTTAAATACTACTTGTAAAGACTTGAAACAGAATCAGTGAAACAGGGTGTCTATAATGTTATGGATCCAACTAGAATGAGAAAATTAAGTACAAAGTATACTGCAGAAAAATGGATCACTGGTCACATTTGAAATTATCAAGGGGTTAGTTTTAAGATATGAGAGAACTTGTGCTGATGGAACATAATTAAATACCTGAAGCAGCCGTGAGCCACAGAGGTTAAGATGTTACTGGGTAGGCCGGCATCTCACCCTGGAATGCCTGAGTCTGAGTCAACTCCAGGTTCCTGTTAGTGCACACCCTGGGAGGCAGCAGGTGATGGATCAGGTGGATCCATCTCTGTCACCCACGTGGGAAACTCAAAACTGAATTCCCAGCTCTTGGCCTTACCCTTCCTGAGCAGGCTGCGGAGAGCATTAGGGAGCGAACCAGCAGATACCTCACTCTGCCTTTCAAAAAACAAAACTTGGAATCACAGTGGTAAATGTAAAGCAAGTTAATCACAGTTATAAATATGCAGGGTTTTTTTTTTTTTGAGAAGTGTTGTAAATTACAAAGAAAATCTGGGCTTTTAGGCCAAAAGATTTTCATGAGTATAATATGTGACTGATACATCTAAAGAGCATAAAAATTATAAGGAGAAGTATAACAGTGTTATGACTTTCAAGAACTGTGTTGGGAGCTAAAAAATAATTTCACAAATTTAGATAAATACAGCCAGTCTGACACAAACACCATATGGTAACTGCCTGAAGAGACAACGGCTGTAAGTTACATGTAAAATTATGACACAGGGGTAGTAAAAGCTGGAAAACAAACAAAATTTGCACAGTAGGATCCAAAGATTAAGATTTTATTTTCCTACGTAAAAAGAATAGATCGTAATATTACAGCTTTGGCATTTTTTTCTCCCTTCTAGTAAAACATGATTTTGCAATGGTTCTCCAAATAATGGCCTGATTTAGCAGACCTTTCCTGGCTGCAGTATTTACTATGTATTAGCTTAGAATAAAACTTATATTGCAGCAACTGACAGTGGCCTCAAAATTCAGTAATTTTCTTTTTCTTAGTGGTGTGATCAACAGCAATCTCAAAGTAACAATAGGAATGTTTCTACTGACCTTGGTGTCACAGTAAATACCAAACATTCCAGACAGACACAGAGACGAGGACAGTAAGCACTCTAGATCTTTCATTACAAAAATACTGGTTTGTCACAGAGGAAATAAGTAAAACACGGAGACTATATCTTGCTTCAAATTCTTGGAAGTTGGGAGTATAAGTATTAAAATCAGGGTTAACATTTAGATTTAAAAAAATCCTGCAATTGTTTAAAATATCCTCAGCAAAAAGATAACTTTCCCAGAACACACACATACACACACACTCTCTCTCTCTCTCAAATAAGCAGATTTTTAATACTCTCCTTTGAAGAAAGTAGAATAACTTCTCTATCTGCATCACAGAAAAGACCTGACTACTCCAGGTTTAGCTTTCAATCCATATTTCTAGCAATCCAATTTAGTGAACAACTTGTCTGCTGAATTCTGTGGCTTCAGGAAGATAGGAGATATAAATTACTTTAACTTGTTCAACCATTTTCAAACAGCAGGAACTTCACCTTTGCACAAAGGCAACAGGGGCCAACATGAAAGGTATTTCAGAATCTTACTTATAGAAAGCCTACCAGCTCTACTTGTTAAGAACAAGAAATAGCTGACATTGGAGAAGAGCTCAGAGAATGCACAGACTGAAAAGAAGAAAACTGGGGAAAGGTGTAAGAAGATAAAAATGAAAGTGAAAAAAGGAAATGAGCAAAGAAAACAATAGTCAATGCTGATTTTTTAGGATATAGTACTCAATTTACTAAACCATCTGGATTAACTGCTCTAAGAATCCCATTATGAAATCAACTCCAAACTTTTTTCTCTAAAGAAAAATTCACTATCACCTCCACTTTAAAAAATAAGGAAACACCTTGGAGAAAATATGATTTTTAAGAAGAAGCAGAGTCTCAGACCATTGCTTCAAATTATCAAGATTATCAACAATTTTTCTATTCACAAAAGGCATGCTTATTCAACCTATGCCCTTTTGAAGAGACAACACTGCTAGTTCACTCAAATATTGCATTTAGGAGTACTTAGGGCATTCAGACTGGCATTTAAGATGCCACGTTTCCTACCACCATACCTGTGCTTCTCTCCTGGCTCCTGCTCCTGAGCCCAGCTTCATGCCAGTACAGCCTATGCAAGAAGTGATGGGTTGGGTGGGTGGGTTTTGCTACCCAGGTGAGAACCTTGGACCTGACTCCAAGTTAGGCTTCCAGTTTTGGCCTGGATGTTGAAAACATCTGGGGAGTGAACCAGTGGAAAAGGGCTCCCTCTCTCTTGGCTATATATTTTTAATTATCATAACTATTTGATTTATTTTAACCTCTGAAGCAGTTTATATATAAATCAATATACAAAGTCTCCCCCTCCCCCAATCTTTTTGACAGCTTTTCAATCCAAATCCACCGCTTTCCAGGGATATAAAATTTTTCCTACAAATGATTATGAAGTATTAAAAATTATTTACACAAATAGGTAACAATGTTTGTTATAAATTTGTTCTTAGAAAAAAAAAAACCTTCACTAGTAACACCGTAGGTAAAATACACCTAAGGCTTCTCTACACAATATCATGGTATCTACCACAATGACAAAGTAACTGGACATCTGAAGAACATAACAGGTTGATGGCATTGCTCTCTCAGAAACCATTTTTGTGCTTGTCTGTGCTCATTTTCTATATTGAAAACAACAACAACTATATAATATTTTGGGCCTGAACACTGGTCCATTCCAGGGACTTACAAACTTCCAATGAATTTCTGTGGCAGTCGTTGGCAGGTGAGCTCCTAAGTGTTCTGCCTTGGCCAGGCAGGCCAAGTATTCCTTTGAGAATCTGGTTGCCCATCTGAATTATTCTACATTTGGAGAGGATGCATTAGTCATTATAAAGAAACTACATAGCCCTTTGCTAACATGAATGCAATAGCCTCTACTTTAATAAGATTTTTTTAATTTTAAAATTTGTATTTATTTGAATGAGAGAGACAGACAATCTCTGATTTGAGGGCTCACTGCTTAAGTACTTGCCACAGCCGTGACTGCAGGAGGTGAAGCAAGGAGCTAAGCTCAGACCATCTCCCCCTTGGCCGAGGAGCTAGCTCAGGCCATCTCTCCCTTGGTCGGCAGGGTCTGAACCATCAGCCACTGCCTCCCAGGGTCTGCCTCAGCAGGAAAAGAGTATATACTTGAGTTGTTTTCTAACACTATTAAGTAATTTATGCTGATTCAATCTCAGTTTACCTAATCCTTTGGATCAAATGTTACAGCAGTATCAAATTGCAATAATGAACAAAATATGTCTGTGTTTATTAAAGTTTTTATGAACACAAATACCCTAGTTGTTATTGGCCTGCTGTGTAACTAAGTGAATGCTATTCTCCAGCAAAAAACCTGTACACTAAATCCCTTACTTCTAAGTTTATATACAACGTAAAGAATATGGCAAGAGTGGAATCAATAAACATACAGATGAAAAATGGGTATGGAACGATATAGATCTAATAAAACTAAAACGAAGCAGGTTTTTAAAAGGTTCCTTCCAAGTATACTCTTATTCCTTTTACTTTTAGCACCCATTAGGCTTCTAATAAATAAGTATTATATATCATTTTATAAAGTAAAACTAACACGAGGAAAATACTAAAACATTATAGAAAAATAATAAAATAATACAAAACCATGTATTCTTTCTTGGCAGTGGTAGCATTAAACTACACTAAAAAATAATCTACTAAAGCTAACAACCACCTTATTTCCTTAATAATGGACAAAACAGACAAGGACATTCTTTATCCAGTTGTTGACATATACTTCTGTCCAGCAAGGGAGGCACTAAAAGTTGACAAAAGATGATTATGTGAGGCATAAAGTTCATTCTGTATTTCTGGTACTTATCTCAAAGGACACCATTACTATGTTTCAAGGAACAGTTATAGGCTCAATTGTACAATGAAATGATCTTGGCTCTGGGAGGTTCGTGTTTGAATATCCTTGCATCTAGTAATTTTGCACAGCCCCATTCTTTTAATCACCCAGGAATCCAGTTCATATTAACAAGAAAAATGTGCTAACCTCCCTCAGGATCAGGGCATTTTAGAAAATCAAGCTAGAGGAATGCTTGGCTCAGAGAAATAATTTTTGCTAGTAGTGACACCTGCAAGGTGTTGGGAGATACTCTTAATTATACTATGCAGGAAATGGCGGAAAAGCAGCCACTTGGACCCATGAGATTGAAATGGATTACCTTATTATGTGGGATTAACACATCCACTGCATTTGTATGTTTGGAACCACAGGAAATGCTCTGACATCACAAGCTAATACACTATCAAACTACTCGGTTTATGTAAATGTATGTTGCATACCCCCAACTCACATTTAACTTCTGCTGGACTGGAAAATAATTATCCTGTTTGCAACTGATCTGTTATTTTTCAAAAATGGGTATAGTTTCACTTATAAACTAATAACAATATTTTTAATGTTATTGAAACGCACTACCCTTGTTATTCTGTTTCAATAATCAGTCAGTAGTGTGTGGATTTTTCTAATCTCCAATTTGATATATTCAAATGTAGAACATAAACTACACAGTTGAGTGACCTCTTTTTACAACTTTAAGGAAAATACCGAAAGCAGAAACAATGAAATGTTGTGCTTTACCTTAATTTTAGTCGAAATAAAACAGAAATTAAGTGACATAAAAGTAACACTCCCTCAAAAAAGAACTTACCACATATTTACAGGTAATAGTGCAACTTAAATAATTACATAGTTATAATAGTCTCAACATTAAACTTCATCTGTTACTCATTTCTAGTGTTTTCTGCTGTTTTGTGATTATTTGGAAGAAGCTGAAATTCATAAATTCTCTTAACATCAAAGATCTCCTAATATACTAAAATAATACCAAGACCATTATGATTTCTTATGAATAATCATTTTTTACACATCTTTCTGTCTTCACATAAATGATTATGAAAATTTAACTCAGAAGTAAAATATTATACCATAATTCATTAAATAAAAAATACAGTGAACTAGGTCAAAGTCAGTTTTTAGAAACAATTAAGTTAATGTATCAAGAGCACTTTTCTTTTTCACTAGAACAGGAAAGTGAAACAAAATTAGTATTTTACTCTAAGACAGCAAGTTTACTGGACTTCGAGATCTTGACTACCGTCAAAAATACACTTGTCATTTTATAATATACATATATTTTATACTTGGGGGTTAGTATAGATTTTTTTTTCTTCTTGAAAAGATATTACAAAATGAAGCAGTGAAATGAAAAAAATCTCATAGGCATATTTCAGGAAATCTGAAATCATCTTGCCTGGTTTATAATTCAAAGACAGTGATAAATGTTGGGGGGAAATCAGTAGAAATATAAAATGTGAAAAGTCTTTAAAATTCAGAGAGCAGATATAAAAGCAGACAAGTGAAAGCTAGAAGAGACAGTTAAGGAAATGAGGTATGATGGAGTCATAGTGCTACAACACATCTCAATTTAGTAAATTAACAACCCCTATTTCAAGGTTGCAAAATCAGCAAATCATAAACCATTTGCTGCTGTGTTCACATGACCTTTCGGGCCAGATGTGTAAGAGTCACCAGCAATACATTTAAAATAAGCCTGAAGCTAACTGCATGATTATGTGAACTTATCTGTGCACAATAAGGCAAATTATAGCAAAAATGTAAGCAAACAACTTTGTATTAATAAATACAATTTCAAGCATTTAATTAACAATATCAATATTTTTAAAATTTAAATAATAAATGCAACTATTTTATACAGAACTGTACTATTTATTATACACACAAGTTATCCGTTCCCTTTGTTTACAAAGGCTGGTTATAGATAATATGGAATGTTACAGTACCTTCTTGCATAAAATTTAGTACAATTTTATACTTGAAAAAGGGTGCAAAAACTCCAGCCTAATAAATCTGACTGAACTGAAATATGTTCTCTTTCTTTTTAAAAAGTACATCATTAACACATACACCACAAGCTATACATAAGCTCACTTCTGAATCACCAGTTGAACAAATGGTAGCAGGTACACTGTGTTAACCATCTCTCTCATCAGTACAGCTTGAAGGCTTGTACTGCTACTCATTCCGAGCCTTTGGAAGCTTTTAAGAATTACTAAACCCAGGTAAGTACAATTTAAAGAAAGCAAACAACAGCTGCCAATAATCATTTTTAGTAAGAAACATCCTCTCACAGAAGACTCAGGAGCAAACATTCTTAGGTGTATTTCTTCCTTCACTATCCTGTAGCTGGTCAAGATTCTCCGTTTTGAACTTTGGATGCTGGTGGCTGCATGAAGTCCTTAAAGGGAACTAGTGCCTCTTTAAGTGCGGAGCAGACTTCAGAGGATGAGCAGGTAATGCACTCCACTAAAGTTGGGTACAAGGCAATTACCTGTGCCCAGGTATTTCCATCAACTGTAATGCAAAAAGTACAAACCTCAAAAAGGGGTGAATTTAACTGGCAGAGATCACCCAATTGACGTAAACTCAATCCTTTAAATGCAATTTCAAAGAAAAAAACCTTAAATCTAAACATTTCACAAGTTTGCATGGTTTTTCTTTTTTTGTTTTGTTTTGTTTTGACCACTGGAACTATTAAAATAATCCTGCCATTATATAAGTTATGGGAAAAAATATACGATCAATGAGCAGTGGATCGATACTGATGAATTAGGTAAGTATATTATAAATGATACTGCGATCTGTGAAGGTTTGCAAGGTTATACAAATTCTGAGTAATACAAACCTTCATTGTTCTTTGTATAACTTCAGAGAACATGCTGTATAAGAACAATTAGAAAACAATTCAGGGGCCTGGTGGCGTGGCCTAGCAGCTAAAGTCCTCACCTTGAACGCCCCGGGATCCCGTATGGGCACCGGTTCTAATCCCAACAGCCCCACTTCCCATCCAGCTCCCTGCTTGTGGCCTGGGAAAGCAGTTGAGGACGGCCCAAAGCTTTGGGACCCTGCACCCACGTGGGAGACCCGGAAGAGGTTCCTGGTTCCCGGCTTCGGATCGACGCAGCACCGGCCGCTGCGGCTCACTTCAGGAGTGAATCATCGGAACGGAAGATCTTCCTCTCTGTCTCTCCTCCTCTCTGTATATCTAACTTTGTAATAAAAAATAAATTTAAAAAAATCTTAAAAAATAAAAAAATCTTAAAATAAAAAATAAATCTTAAACAATTCAGATTTTTACTCACTTGTTTACTAAAAAAAGGTTTAAAAAAAATCTATACAGAATTGCCTAGCCATATTCTTGACACTGATTTTAACTTAAGATCACCACATGTAGGTACATCCATTCTTCCCTGTTGCTGCTTGCTAACCATTAATGTGTATCATTACACGTGAATGCCAGTGTCACCATGCCTGCCTTCTTTAGCACAACCATGAACATGTACAGTTGAATGTTCGCTGAATGGACAAAGGTGTTATCTATCAAACAGCAGCAATCTCATTATACTCAGACCACACTGCATTTGTTTTCCTGTGCATAAAAGTAATAAAAATGCATTAAAATCTGCTGGAATTTCTTCTTAGACTTTGTAGAACATGTCTCAAATCTGGGAGGCAGTCTAATTCAGAATAAAGACTGCTGTGCTGTGTATCAGAGATTTTAATTTATTTTTTTACTCTTAATTTACCAGACATCAATTTCTTAACATTCTTTCTGAAATAAAGCAGTGATGGCTGTCCATGGTCATTTAATTTCTCTGCATTTCAACTTCTGCTTTAAATGAACACAAATATTTCTCAAGTGAATGTTCCTTTATGTACTTATTAGAGATTTTATGGTGGGGTTGGCATAGTGGAATGCAGGGTAAAGCCACCAACTGCAATACCAGCATCCCATAGGAGCACCAGTTTCTGCTCTGGCTGCTTCATTTCTGATCCAAATCCCTGCAAAATGTGCCAGGAAATGGCAGAAGATGGCCAAAGTGCTTGGGCCCCTGACAGTCAGGTGGGGAAACCAGGACGAAGCTCCTGACTCCTGACTTCAGTCTGGCCCAGCTGGGTTGTTACAGGCATCTGGGGAGTGAACCAGAGGATGAAAATCTCTCCCTCTCTCACTGTATAATTCTAAGTTCCAAATGAATAAGTCTTTTTTTAAAGTTCATGATCAAGTAAGTTTGACAGATGCTATATTTTAGCCTTTAGAGATCAGTATTTCTCTTGAACATATTAAAGACAGTAATAGAACAGAGTTAACTATCCAACTCAGGACTTCTAAAATTAATTTAATTATGGAATTGTGTTTCACACATTATCAACTGAAATTACTAACATTCATTCTTTAACATACATCTAATAAAATGCTAAACTGTTCCTTTATCCTCTCAGGCTTTCTCAGGTGAAGGCAGGGAGAAGAAAAGCAGAGTGGGACTGATGGTACTCATGAAAAGGGAAAGGTCAGTTGAAGCTGTCCTGCATGTACTTATTTTACAGACTGGGAATCCACATCAGGTTTCACTTGTAAAAAGAATTTGCTGCCTAACATAAACCAGAACAAAAATCTAGCCAGTGCAGTGGCAGAACAGATATTCCAATGACAGAGCGCAGGCATCCCATACGGGCACCAGTTCACATCCAGCTGCTCCTCTTCCCAATCAACTCCTGATAATGGCCTGGGAAAGTAGCAGAGGATGGCTCCAGTCCTTGGGCTGCTGACCCACAGAGTGATCTGGAGGAAGCTCCTGGGGGCCCAGCTACTTTCTAGTGGTAGTGATCTACCATCTAGAGGGTAGCTATTCTCAGCGCTTTATCTCATCCTGGACCAGCAACAATAAACATTTAAGGCCAGTGACTACTCCATCAAGCCACATTGTAATTGGACAAAATTTGATGGCAAGAAAACCATGGTTCAGAAAGTCTCCTAAGAAGCTTAAAATGTAAAGAGAGGTAAGCATGCATGACTATAATGCAACAGTGCTTTAAAACTAAAGTGCACATAGAAGTGCTATGACTTCAATGAAATCCTTTACCTGTAAGAAATGTAAAACAGACCTTAAAAACAGTCAAACTGGCTAGATAAAGGCAGAGAAATGGGACAAGAAAAAGTATTTAATACTTAGGAAGAATGAGAATATTAGTTTAGGAGGAGAGAAGGGTAAAAGAAGTCTAGTGGGAAATGGAACAAATAAATAGTAGACTGTACTACTCTGTAATTTGGTGGGCAGTGCTACACGAGGAAGAATTTTTGTAATGAACAAATGGATTAACAAAGCTGCTTTGGAAAAATCGTTTTTGGCAATAAAGAATGAATTGGGCAAGAATAAGTTACAAAAAGGGAAAGCAATTGAGAATGAAGTATAAAAAGACGGTGATTTATAGTGTACCATGTAAATCACAACAAACTGATGAAAGCCTTCCTTGTCCCCATCTCTAAAAAAGTTAGTGATCATTCACATTAAAAACATATGAAATCTGAATTATCCATGCAAACAAAAGGACAGCTAAACTGTTTAACATACACAGCATAAAACATTATAAATTAATTTTACTTGTGGACATTCTGATGGGTTTAATGGTTTCTGGTCATAAGAACTGGTAAAAAGAATGTCTGATGACTGGTACTTCTTCCTAAACTTCAGTTAACTTATTAACAGAAAAGTGTACCACAGATACAATCTAGGTATTATAAATTTAAGTGAATAAATTTTTAAGCACTTACCATTCTCAGGGTGAGTTTTCTTAAGTGAATCAATTAGAGTACTGACTGCTTTTAAAACAAATATGATTTCTGTTACTTGTTGCCTATAAAAAGAGGTGGGGGATTATTTCCATCAATAACTTAAAATATTCCAAATGTGTTATCTTATGAGATATGAATAAACAGCTGTTCTTTGGAAAAACACTAATGACAACACAATGCAAAATCAATGTTAGCTTTTAGCTTTTTTTTTTAAAAGATTTACTTATTTATATTACAATGGTAGGCCAGATTTACAGAGAGAAGGAGGGACAGAAAGAAAGATCTTCCATCTACTGGTTCTTTTCTCAAATGGCCGCAATGCCAGAGGTGAGCCGATCAGGAGCCAAGAGATTCTTCTGGGTCTCCCAAATGGGTGCAGGGTTCCAAGGTTTTCGGCCATCCTCCACTGCTTTCCCAGGCAATAGGCAGTGAGATGGATGGGAAGTGGAGCAGCTGGGACATGGACTGGTGCCTATATGTGATCCTGGTGCATGCAAGGTGAGGATTCAGCCGCAGAGATATCATGCCGGGCACCTAATTTTTAAATTTTAAGTTTATTTATCATCATTTACTTATAAAGTAGACAAACACAGGAAGAGAGAGGTGTTCCATCCCCTGGTTTTCTCCCCAAACACAAAAGTCACAGCTGAACTAGGCAGAAGGCAGGATTGTCAACTTCTGGGTCACTCACATGTTGATAGGGTCCCAAGCACTTGGGTCTTTATCAGCTGCCTCACATAAAGCATTAGAAGGAAAAAACGTGCCTGGAGTGATGGCCTAGCGGCTAAAGTCCTTGCCTTTCTAATAAAAAAAAAAATCTTTAAAAAAATTTATTGATTTATTTTAAAGTCAAAGTTTGAGTCAGGGCCAGGTGCAATAACTTAGTGGCTAAAGTGCCTTGCATCTGCCGGGATCCCAAATGGGCACCATTCTGTGTACTGACTGCTCCACTTCTCATCCTGCTCCCTGCTTGTGGCCTGGGAAAGCAGTAGAGGACGGCCCAAAGCCTGGGAATCTGCATCCGCACGGGAGACCCAGAAGCAGCTCCTGGGTTCAGATCAGCTCAATTACGGCCATTGCAGCCACTTGTGAACCATAGATGGAAGATCTTTGTCTCTCCTTCTCTCTGTAAATCTTTCCAATAAAAATCAATAAATCTGACATTCCAAAATAAATAAATAAATAAGAAAGAAAGAAAGAAAGAAAGAAAGAAAGAAAGAAAGAAAGAAAGAAAGAAAGAAAGAAAGAAAGAAAAAAAAGAGAGAAAAAGGAAAAGAGCTTCCATCTAGTGGTTTTATCCTAAGATGGTTACAATGGCCAGGGCTAGTTGATGCTGAAGCCAGGAGCTTATTAAGGTCTCCCATGTGGATAATGGGGGACAAATTATTTGGGCCATCTTTGGCTGCTTCTCCCAGGTCATTAGCAGAGGTGGATCAGAAACAGAGTTAACAGGGACAAGAACTAGCACCCATATCAGCTGCTGGCATCACATGTGGTGGTCTTACCTGCTGTGCAATAAGGCTTTCAGAGGTTTCTCTATTCTAAATGACATCAGTGCGCAACTATTTAATAACAAAAAGACAATGTTTTACTGATTGATACGAAGAACACACACCTGGGAAGAGGGCATTTGCCACTTAATCTTTCATCCTCTATATAACGATGTAGCACGTCCTGAGACCTTTTTAAAAGCACTGAGAGAGCCATCCGGGAGATGTAGCCCTCTTGTGGTGTTGTGACTTTATTACTGAAGGAAAACTGGAGCAATGTTTCAAAACACATCTTGGAAAATTCTTCTCTTAAACGAATGTCAATCTCTGCTTCTGTAAGACAAAAGTGTTGATGGTCAATACAGGTTAAATTAGTGTGCTTTAACAACTCCAGTCAACTAAGGGGAAAATTCATCAGTCTGACCAAAGATATCTAGGAATAACTTACGAATTAATTTCCTCCCTCATAGGTTCAAAAACAAGGCAAAACCTGTCGATCTCCATCAACAGTTTTCTGTCTTGGCTTATCTGTACCCTTCCACAATACTATAAAATCCTTAACAATTGTCTGCATAGTAAATTTGTACATTCTTTTCCTTTACTACTCTCTCCTGGCAACATATTTTCCAAAACAATATCACTGTATCTGGACTAGTGACCATTTAGATGAACTGTCTGCTTTATCCTGGAATTATCTTTGGCACTACCCTGGGAACTGATTCCATTCTGACTCATCTCCCAGACCTCAAGATTTCCTTTTTCTTGATTTACTCTTTGTTTTCAAGGAGTATGTTTTGAAGCAGTTTCCTAAGATAAAAGGACGATAAAGCTTTTGAGCTGTTAAACTTCTGAAAATGTCACTATTTTGCTGCAGTACAGTGTGATTCCCAACAGCACGCGCATCACCTGGGAACTTCTATAGCAGTGTGAACTTTGCGGCAGGCATTGTGGTGCAGTGGGCTTAGCACACCAGCATCCTGCATGGCAGTTTTAGGTCCTGGCTACTCCACTGCTTATGCACCTATCTGTGAAAGCACACTTGGAAGATGGATGGCCTGGATGCTTAGGCCTCGCCACATACCCAGGGGGCTAGGGCTCCTAATCCTACCTGCTGATGGCATTGTTGAGCAAAGTATGGATGGTAGCTTGCTTTCTGTTACTCTTCCTTTAGAGTGGATGAAAATATACAAGAAACATTTTTAAAAGGTGAATTCTCATGGCATGCTTGAGTCGTACTGAATCGGAGGCCTTTGGGAGAATGACTCAGTGACTGACTGCGTTTCAACTGATGATAAATGACACATGCACAAAGTTGAGAATAACTGCTCTAAACTCAACACTCAATGCAGTGCCTGGATAGGAAACTCCATGTGAAAAAAAGGCCTTCTCATTTCTAATTCTGAAACCACTGCTGCAATGTTTCTTAGCATCCTGTGGTGTCAGTGAAAATCCTAGCTTCATCTGATAACAAAGTTTGGCTTTTGTTTCTTTCTGAATGTTTCATTATCACGTGTTACTGTGAGTTTCTTTTTTCTTTTACTGTTTTGTGAAAACTAATGGATCATTTTTAATTTGAAGTTTTACTCTTCGGTTTACTTGATAATTTTTTTCCCATATTTTATTGTAAAGATTCATTTATTTATTTACAAGGCAGAATTATTGCAGGGCATGGGGATCAAGGGAGACAGTGAAGGAAGGACAGATCTTTCAGCCACTGGTTCTCCCCACCAGTGCTCTAGCAGCCAGGAGCTCCAGCACAGTCTAAGTTATGGTGGCAGGGGCCCAGTACTTAAACCATCTTCTGGTGCCTGCTCAGGAACATGAGCAGGAAACCATAAAGAGAGCAGTTGGGACTTGAACTAACACTCTGATATGGGATGGCAGCATGACAAGCCACCACTTAACGCACTGCACCACAATGACTTTAGAGTTTTTGATCTTAGATTTTTTTTTCTTTGTTCTCTTTTGTGAAAGACTTACTGTCAGATGCTAGTATTCATTTTTACTCTTTTTACTATCTACTTTTTAAAAAAACAACCTTTAACCTATTTCCTTAATATTTTCTTCCATCCTGTCATTTCTCAGGTATCACATTTTTAGTTTTAGCTTTTGAATGCTGGTTTTTATTTTTCTTTAATATATTTTTTCCTTCTTTCAGTGTATAAAATCTGTGTCTTTGACTATCCTAACTATAACAGCAATTATGTTTTCTTAGCCTCAGCATTTTAGATGTTACCCCCAAGTTTCCTTTCTCTTTCATTTTTTTTGGTTTTATATTTTGTGCTGTGAGCTTTGGTGACCAGATCATACTTGAAAGCAGAACACTGATCCTTGGAACCTCTGTTTACAGGTTGGCCGTGCTTATTAAGAAGCAATGACATAATAAGCACATTTCAAAGAAAGCTTCAGGTTAAAGATGAGATGACACTTGGGTCCATGGCAAAGTCACTGAAAAAATGTCATCACCATTCTTGCCTTTATACAGTCACATTAACATATAAATCAAGAGATGTCAGAAAAATACTAGAAAAGAGATACGTGGTAACCTGCTTTTATATAGTCTAGGATATTTACAATACTTGCAAATATTTTACTCAATGGGTATTTTATTAGAAATGATCTAAAATTTTTAACATATTCTTAAAAAGTTGACTACACAAAAATAAGATGATTTTTTTTCTCTGAGCTTCTTGTGTTTTTTAAAATTATATTTTACCATGCACTTAAAAACTGTCAGAGCTCCAGGAGGAGAAAAATGAGCTTATGCAAGTAAGCAGTTTGAGAGACATCTAGTGGTCAACTGTGTACATAAATTCTATTTTAATTGCTCAGCACAAAATAGTCTCCATTCCAGTGAATTCTGAGGATTAAAAACATGGATGGTTTTCCCAGTATGATAGCCTAACGTCTAAATTCTTTTCTTACATGCACCAGGATCCCATATGGGTGCCAGCTTGTATCCTGGCTCCTCCACTTCCCATACAGCTCCCTGCTGATGGCCTGGGAGAGGTATAGAGGATGGTCTAAAGCCTTGGCACCCTGAGCCTGTGCGGGAGACCTAGAAGAAGTTCCTGGCTTTGGATTGGCTTAGCTATAGCTGTTTTGACCACTTGGTGGGAAACCATCTGGGGAGTGAACCAGTGAATGTAGTATTGTTTTCTCTGTATCTCCTTCTCTCTGTATATGCCTTTCCCATAAAAAAATTATACATCTTAAAAAAAAAGCAATGTAATTTACAACCATATTTTCAATTAAATAGATGTATGAATATTATGTTATACAGCCATATTTGCAAAGTTTAATACCTAAATTAGAAACACTTATGGAATCCACTGAAGTCTCTTAAGGCTCATGTAAGTTATGATTTTTGTCAAGTCATGGATAATTGAAAAGCAATATCATATAGAAAGAAATCAGTGTTTATTCTGCTACCTAATAATTGGGCTAACTACTCAGTGTATCAATTTCATAATAATTAAAATGAAAATATGAATAACTTCTTAGAGCTATACATACATAGAGTCTTATAAGAAAAAATAATAAAGTGCCTTAACATTTGTTTAAGTAATATCTAGTGAATGCCTACTATGTAGAAAATACTGTTTTAGAATATGATTTCACTTCTCACAACATTTCCGTGAAGATAAATACGACCATTCAATAAAAGGGAAAATGGTTTAGAATAAAGAAATCACCCAGCATCTTCAAGCTCCAGCCACCCTCACGGGCGACCTGGAAGAAAGTGCTGGCTGCTTGCCTCAGCCTAGCCAGCCCCGGCTGCTGTGGTCATGTAGCGGTGGAATCGGAGGACAGACCACGGGTCTCTTGCTCCCTTTCTCTGACCCTCCTCTCTTCCTCTTTCTCAATTATTCTTTCAAATGGACAAATCTTTGAAAATAAGTAAAAATTGCTTCACAATTCTTCCATTCACAATTACTATAAGCCCAGAATTTAACATTTCTATGTCAATTTCTTCAGAAGTACATCAATACTTTCTAAACCTCTGCCCCAAATCATTAAAACATACCTGTAAATGAAGAGGACTGAGAATGTATTGAGCCCTTGTTAAGCATAGTCATTATCTGACCAACAAATTCCTTAGGAATAAAATTGGCGTAAGGTAGGATTTCAGTGCTAATGAGCTGAACTACCTAAAATAAAAGACACACATTCAAATACATTTTTCGTGAAAGACTGAGTGACTCCAAATTCATAGCATAAAATTTAAATTGTGCTTTTAAAAAAAGTCAAAGCATTCTCCTTGACAGAAACATGTGAGCATTTTAATGTTCATGCACTATTAGTCTGTTTTCCTCACATATTTTAGCAAAAAATAATCACTATTATAACTGCTTACTGTGCCACCACATTCATAAATGTTAATATTCATTGCAACTGAAAATAGCGCTACAGAAAAGCACAGTCAGCATATGAAACTTAGCCATGTTACAATAAGGAACTCAAAGCAGGATTGAGAGCAAGATTTAAATCACTCTTGTATAACCAGAAACTAAGATGAGAAACCAAACTATATTCATTTTTGTCAAATAGCCTATTTCTGATTCATAGTGTGTAATGTTGTTTCTAAGGAAGAGTTCACAAGACCTTTGACACAGTAGCTGCATAAAATCGGCAACAATTTGCATGTGTAACACAATGTCTCTGCTTTCCAAATGCACTCAGCAGTTAATCTGATATTGGTCATTATCCCAATTAAAAAATCAAAACCACCATCACCAACAAACAGCCATAATCAAAATATCTGGTTATATTCAATCCTATTGATAATATTGAAAATTTTATTTAAAAATCACCAGTTGCCATAAGAATTCCACAGTCTCTGTACACAGCTGGTTGAAAACTGAAAAAACTCCAAACAATTTATGGATTAATTTGAACTATAACACCTGGTTTGCTAAATAGCAAAACCTAAAATACAGCTGCACTAGCTGATTTATTTCTGTATAAACAACTTTTATAAACTTATTTAGTGAATAAAACTAAGTATCTAGACTATAAGCATGTAGCAGAATCTTAAGAAAGTCATCTTTACAATGTCACTATTATAGAACTCATGCTTACTATATTACTTACACTCTTAGCAATTTCACATTTTCAACAAATTTTATTGCTTGATTTTCACAAATAGTCACAGAAAAACGTTTTAAATGGTTTCCTCACCTCAACATCAATACTTTCATTTCTTTGAAATTCTTGAATAGAAAGATTATCTGGAGGTATGCTAAAAAATGAATAAAGGTAAACACTTGAGTTTTAGGATAAAATATTCCTTAGAAACACAAACAGAGACAGATAAACAACACTGACATGACAAACATATTTCCATCCAGGCTAGAGATTAGCATTTATTTAAATGAACACTACTTTTTCACTAAATTTCTTACTATAAGTGAAAATGCTAAACTGCAAACATGAAATTCAACCACAAAAATGCTTGAACTGTACAAAATCTGTAGAACGAAGCTTCTTTCAACACTCTGATTAACAAAGGTGAAGGTATTATTTGATCTTCAGCTATAGGAAAAATCATGATCGTGATATTACCTGAATTCACTTACGGCAGCAGTGACTTAATGTAACCCAAACTAGCTACTTGGAGACAGACCCTTCGTCATTATAATAAATACTATGTATGAAAACATCTTTACAATAGAGAATATCTGTAAAGAATAGACGTCGTTCAAAAACTGTTCCAGAAAGGACAGGGACAATCCACAGCTCTAAGAATTATTATTACCATTTTTATTATTGCCTTTATCGTTATTATAGAGTTCACAGAAGGGAATAATTGAAGCTCACAATGGTTAACATGTCCCCCTGAACACACTGCAAGTAAACGGCAAGGCCATAATTTCTATTTTTTTTTAAAGATTCATTTTATTTCTATTGCAAAATCAGATATAGAGAGAGGAAGAGAGACAGAGATGAAGATCTTCCGTCCGATGATTCACTCCCCAAGTGACCACAATGGCCAGAGCTGCACCCATTGAAGCCAGGAGCCAGGAACTTGCTCTGAGTCTCCCAAGCAAGTGCAAGGTCTCAAGGCTTTGGGCCGTCCTCGACTATTTTCTCAGGTCACTAGTAGGGAGCTGGATGGGAAACAGGGCTGCCAGGATTAGAACTGGCACCCATAAGGAATCCCAGCACATTCAATCATTCAATGTGAGGACTTTCGTCACTAGGCCACTGCACCGGGCCCAAGGCCATTTCAACCGAGATTTATCTGATACGTAAGCCTATATCATGTTATCACTACATTCTAGTTGGCAAAGCAGTATTAGCATATTTAGGTTCAGAGGTTTACAGTATTGTATCTAGGGCTGTATCGGATATCTGTACAACATGCCCACTTCATTTGAGCAATTTTCATTAAATAGATGCTTACTGATTACTACTACTTTGTAAGAGGCATTTTATTTTTGATATTCAAAATTTAATTATGAGCAAAATAGACTGAATTCCTGTTTCATGAAATTTACATTCTAGTGTCCAACTCTTAAGCTAATTTTGTATTGGGACCTAATGCAATGATTTCACATAGATACCCAAATGTGATCCAGACGCAGGAATTTCACAACCACTATCATTAAAGCATCTTCTATTCTTAACTTAGAACCAAGAAATAAGTTTTTAGTGACTGACATTGGAAGAGTTGTGATGATGCTCAAAAGAGCTAAGAATGGATTGGCCACCAACAAAAACAAAAATCACATGAGAAACACATAGTCATATCGTTAAAGCTTTTTTTTATTGTACATTAGAAGCAGTGAACTGAATTGTTAAATAGTTTATGGAAGAGCAACATACAAAGAGTGACATACAAAACTACAAACTGAGAGACTCACTTCTCTTAATCCTTGTGATTTATAAAGGAGATATTCAAGCATGCAAATATCAAAAACACTTCTGAAGTTTTTAAAATGTTTACGACTGATGTGTAGCAGGTAAAGCCATCACCTGCAATATCAAGATCCCCTGTGTGTGCGGGCCTGCGTCCCAGGTGCTCTGCTTCTGATCTTGCTCCCTGCTTAGGGCCTGGGAAAAGCAGAGCTGAGATGTTGGGCCCCCACTGGCCCCACTGGAGACAAACGGGAAGCTCCTGCCTTTGGGCTAACCTGACACTAGCCGACACGGTCACCTGTGGGGCGAGCAAGTGAACAGATCTCTCTTTCTGTGTCTCACCCTGTCTCTGTAACTCTTTCAAATTAAATAAATCTTATTTTAAAATGCTAATGATTAACAAAATTAATCTAAGATTTTTAAGGCATGAGGCCTACAGTGCTAATACAAGACATGCAACATAATTAAATTCTCTAAACTTGAAGAGTACAGTGGTAATTCTAAAAAGTTTTTATGAATTTTCATCTAAAATATTGAAATTGATAAAGCATTATATTTTTGTCAGTTCTCTAGCATATTAAAGAGTATAATTTAGCAGTTTTCATTATATTCATAAAGTTGGGTCATCACTATCATTTCTAATTTGGAATTTTTATGTATTTGTTTTTCTTAGAAAGGCAGATTTACAGAGAGGAGAAGCAGAGAGAAAGATCTTGAATCCACTTGTTCACTCCCCAGTTGACTGCGATGGCCAGAGTTAAACTGATCTAAAGCCAGGAGCTTTTTTTGGGTCTCCCAGGCGGGTTCAGGATCCTCTGGTGCTTTCCCAAGCCACAAGCACACAGCTGGATTGGAAGTGCAGCAGCCAGGACACAGGTGGCATCCATACAGGATGCTGGTGCTTGCCGGTAGAGGATTAGCCTGTTGAGCTACCATGTCATCCCATCATTTAGACCATTTGCATCATCCTCACAGCAACTTCGTGCTTGTTAGCAGTTGCTTGCCATTCCCCCAGTCCTCTCTATCCCTGAGGACTATTAATGTTCTTTGGCTCTGTGGATTTGCACATTCTGTTTTTATCACATAAAGCAGAATATATAACATGTGGCCTTTTCTTTTCCCCCCGACTTCTCCTACTTGTAATGTTATGAAAGTTCATCCATGTTACAGCATGCCTCAGTGCTTTATTCTTTTTCACGGCTGAAGCATTCCACAGAACGGATATGTCACACTCAATGTATCCATCAGGTGATGGGGTAAGTGGTCATTTTCATGTTTTGGCTCCTATAAATAAAGCTACTATGAACAATGGTATACAAGTTTCTGGGTGAACAGGTGCTTTCCATTAAGTAGTACTTACTGATTTTTTTTTCAAGTTCATAGTTTTCTTTTCCCTAAACTTACTACTTACTATAGCCTTCAGTGACATCCACAGTCTATCTCTTCTTTATATTGATTCTGACTCTATTTGTATTTTCTGTTTATTGTACTACCTTGCCAAAGCAGCTTGCAGACCAGAAAATTAGGAAATACCAAAGGCATAGTTATCAATGGCTTTAAGTGTAAATTACGTTAAAGATTTTATAAACGTTTCAACATAAAAGATCCTGATTTCCTAGAAACTTGTCCTTTTGTAATTCCAAAGGCCAGAATTCAAAAACTTTTGTGTTTCACTAAGGTGAAATCATGGTTCCTTAATTATGATGCATTCAAATGGGTCTTCTATGTAAGATTCCTGCTTTCCAAGCAGAAATACTGTGAAGAGCAACACCTTCCACTGCTTATAGAAAATGGAACTAAAATACAGCTTAATCCAGCTGTATTTTGTGTAATAATCCTCGATCTTAACAATCAATTACTTTGATAATGACAAAAAGTAAAAACTAGTTTTAGAGCAACTGTACAAATAAAAGGCTACTTCTTGAAATTTTAAAATGTTAATTTTAAAAAATGAATGAACTGACCTTTTAGTAAAGAGAAAGTCTTCAAAAGTGTTGGCTAGTTCTGGCCACATTGTATCAAATTTTCCAGAAGAAGCATGCTGACGGGCAACAGGTAGCCCAATAGAAAGGACTTTGAGGAGAGAAGACACTGCCAGTTTCCATGTGCTTTCGGAAGGGCAGGAGTACTTCAAACTAAGAGGAACCCTAAGAGTCTGAAAATAAGACGGTTTAAGACAGTTACAAAAACAGGTATGGGCACACAATTTTATTACAAAAAACATTAAGGCAGAGAGAAAAAAATAATGGCAAGCTGCTTCTCAGACATGATCTCCAAATCCTACCTTCTAGAAAGATGTATTATTAATTCCTGCCTCCATCTTCCAAACAGTTACGCTGAACAAATATTTTTACCCTCACTTTTTACGATATTAAAAAAAGGGACATTATCTGAAAAGAGTAAGAAATTTATTTATTGCAGCTTTTTCTCAATTTGATATTACAGAACCAGAAAATTGTGCTGCATTTCTAGCAAGAAGTAATTCTGCTGAGGAGATCTCATCCCAGAGATGAACAGTAATATTTTTTTCTATTAATGGTTAGCAAAATCTCTAAAATTTTTTGGATTTCATATTATAGTCTAACTTTTTTTTTTAAAGATTTATTTTATTTTTATTGGAAAGGCAGATATACAGAGAGGAGAGACAGAGAGGAAGATCTTTTGTCCGATGATTCACTCCCTAAGTGAGCGCAACGGCCGATGCTATGCCGATCCGAAGCCAGGAGCCTCTTCTGGGTCTCCCACGTGGGTGCAGGGTCCCAAAGCTTTGGGCGGTCCTCGACTGCTTTCCCGGGCCACAGGCAGGGAGCTGGAAGGGAAGCGGGGCTGCCGGGACCAGAACCGGCGCCCACATGGGATCCCGGGTGTGCAAGGCGAGGACCTTAACCACTGTGCCATCGCGCCGGGCCCTAGTCTAACATTTTAATGTGCTTTATTTCCCTTTCCAAGAGTTTCAGGGAAACATATTCTTTAAGATGATTGCATCTCTCATCACCGTGAGTGCAGGAGCGGAGAACCTGAGCTACAGATCACACTAACATGGTGAGACCCATCCTTCCGACTCCTCCACCTCAAAAACAGGGACTCTTCTCATACAAAACTAATTTGGTGATCATAAAGGCCTCCTAGACTAATCAATTTATCATAGTGATTTATCCCCATGCATCAATAAATTGTGAAATAATTTGCAGTAGAATACAAATGCTGCTTTTACACAGAAATTCTAGCCTGATTAACACAGAAGAAATAAATCCATATTTCAAGAATATAAAACCTAGCATATTTTATATTCAAATTATCACTGAACAATGAACATTTATACAATGAACATCCCAAATTGTGTGTGTGTACTTTTTTCAGGCTCATTCTTGGTCCTGTAATTTTTCAATATTTCCTGAAAATATACTATGATCTTTCACTTTGCTTGTTTTCAAAAATGCCTCTTTCCCTCTTTAGACATGGAAAACTGTTACTCCTTTAAGAGTCACATCTATTCTTTTCCTTTTTTTTTTTAAGCTGGGGATAGGCAAATACAAAGCCATGAGCCAGGAGCTTCTTTCAGGTCTCCCGATGGGTGTAGGGTCCTAAGGCTTGGGGCCAACTTCTACTGTTTTCCCAGGCTACAAGCAGGGTGCTTGATGGGAAGTGGAACAGCTGGAATCATGCAAGATCCCAGTAGTTGCAAGGCTAAGATTTAGCCACTAGGCTACCACGCTGGGCTCACTTCTATTTGTTCTTGCCAAAACCCCTCAGATAGTTACTTTTTCACTGTTGGCAAAGAACTAACATTTTATTCATCTCTCACTATTTAAGCATGATTAAATGTTCCAACCATAACAGGATCATCACTATCTCATGAGGCAATATTTAAGAAACCTATATGCTTACTCTCAAATATTCCTCATTAAAAGTACCTCACACTTTAGAAAACTGACTTGTTAAATGTAATCTACAAATGCACAAGTAACTATAAATACAAATGACATTTTACATTTATCCCGGTGATAATATATTACCTAAAGTGTAATTTCAGTAACACCATCATCACCAAATGAAAGACAGAAATGAAGAGGTACCTTAATAACGTTCTGTAGTACTTTCTCATTCACCACTGCTTTGTGACAGGCTGTTTTTTGGTATAAATCCACAACTACTTCTAAAGATCTCTCAGCAAATGGTACATAATTCAAGGCTACCCATTCAGCCTAGAAAACAATATAATCAAATACAGTTAAAAATAAATAGGACTAAAGGAAATTGGACTCAAGGAGAAAGCATCTTTGTCCTAAAGTTCAGGCCTTGGTTTTTAGATCATATTATAGTGCATGCAAAGTTTTCGAGGAGATATGTACACCATGAAAAAGTCATTTTCAGCGAGGCAAAAATTAAAACTACTGGAAAAAGCATACATAGCATTCTATCAAAAACTGGGAAAGATGTAATTTTATTTGTTGCCAATAGGTTAAGACAGTTTTAGGAAATTTAACTCACCGGTGCAAATAGTTGGATCTATTGTGATTCCATTGTGTTGCAAGACAAATAGAATAAGAAAAGTTAATACATATTGAAACTACTTTTCTGTTGATATAAAATTTCAATTTTTATGTTGAGTGAACAAAATAAGCATGTGCATGCATTTTGAAATTTACTTTTCCCTAAGCCAAAACGCAGTTAAAATTTCGCCATCTGTGGCTATAAAAATCTTTCATATAAAATCCAACTAAATTTCACACCAGCAGTGGACAACTTCTTCTTTAGCATAAATTTCCTCATCTTACATTATAGATGTTTCTGTTTCTGTGAAGATTAGCTTTAGGGATGTAGAAGTCGCTCTGTAGCGGGATGGGGAAGCTAAGGAAATGAGAGGAAGAAACCTCATTTCATGAAAAGTTTTGTTTAGAGTAACACGAAAGGCCAAACCTCCTGAAGGATCACGTGAAAAACAAAGCTGGGGTTGGGGAGGGCAGGAGGGCAAAAAGAAGAAAAGGAACATAGAAATGGTTTCCCAAATAATATTTCTATTCAGTTGAAACTGTTAACAGATACACCTAAGTTCATTGTGAATAAAAATTTTCTTTTTCTCAAAGTCTATATTAAGTGGAATAATTTATAAGCTATGAAACACCACATACCAAATAATAAAAGAGTAAGTTACCTGATTATATTTTGCATTTGCAATATGTTTTGTTTCCAGTTGTCCATACTGAGGAGGTTTACAGGAAAATTCTACAAAGGCCAGCAACTGGTCAAATATGGCTGGATACATTATCTGCATGTTTTCGGGTCCTATACATATGGCCTATAATAAGCAGAATATGAACACTGAAATGTATAACGCAAACTCTATGAAGCTCTTTACTATACATGCATTTGTTTAACCAAAGAATCTTAAAGACTGTCCTATCTTATGTAAGTATTACACCATCTGTTATAAGTTCTGGAGGATTTTAAACTTGAGCATTCCTAATGTGAGTCTGAAATTCCAAACACTCCAAAATCAGAAACTAAGCACAAACAGGAAGACACAAATGGAAAATTTCACATCTGACCCCCTATGAAGAATCGCAGTCAAAATACCAGCAACACTGCATATAATATAAAACCACCTTCAGACTATGTGTATAAGGTTGCACAGGAAACATAAATGAATATCCTCAAGATACTTCATTTGCTAACACACAAATATTCAGAAATCTGGAAAAAAATCAGAGTCTGAAACACTTCTGGCCATAAGTATTTTCAACAGAGGATACTGGAACTATTTTTGCTAAATGAAGGGTGGACTAAAAGTGTTAATTGGTTAAGAAGATGCTCTCTTTTCTCAATGGGGCATGAGCTGCTCCTTAACACAGTGGAAAGGGGCAAGCACTTAAAGAGAAGTCCCCAACAATTCCAAGAGTTGACAGCCTGATCCTCTGCTCAGTCATACGGTCATCAGATCATTATGAATGCATCGCTGACCAAGGTGACACTGGCTTTAAGTGGTATCGGGTTGAGAAAATGACGTATGCACCGTGCCAGGTCCACTGAGTCTAACAAATCATTAAAGAAATCAAAGTTGGAAGAGGTAAGTCAGTCCTCTATGAAAACTTGCTTCTAAAACAAGTCTACATATTAATTTTTAATAGAACTATGTGTCCTTAATGACTGATGTTCCTGAATATATAAACTTTATTCAAAATCAAAAAGTAAAATGTTTTTACTATAACAAACCAGTAATTACTGTGGAAAAGAAACTGGTTTGCCCTAAGTGAATCCTTTTATTTTCCATAAATTTAAAAGAAAGAAAAAGCCCATGTAGATACCTAAGAAAATAATAACAATTTACTCAGAAATAACATAGAATAGAATAATCACTCCATATATTCTAGTTTCCGATGGTTGTTAATAAAAACAAAACTAATAGTATAGTCGACTGAAAAAGGAAATTCTGGGAACTTAAAATGTATGCTATGGGATCCACTTCTTTTCCATCTAAGAAAAAATTCTTATTGGATTTTTTTTCATACTCAAAAGTCTGAAGAAGGTAAAAGATTTATATGAATTGAACTGTAGAAAAATTGGACTATAAAATTTAAAAACCTACAAAGAAAAAAAACAAAAAAAATGAATGTATATCAGAAAAACCAATCTGACACCTTTGGTGAAAAATTTTTTTAATATAAAAGTCAAGAATCAATAAGCACTCAGGACAATATTTCTTATTGGTCCTAGAGAACTATATTTTAAAAATGTATTGATTTATTTATTTGAGAAGCAGAGAACTATACAAACCAGCAGACAGAGAAGAGGAGCTTCCACCTGCTAGTTCACTCTTCAAAGGCCCACAACAACCAAAGCTGGAACCAGGAGCCAGTGACTGGATCCAAGTCTCCCGCCATGGATGGCAGACACTCAGCTATTTGGGCAATCATTCGCTTCCTCCTGGGGTGTACATTAACAGGAAGCTAGAACTGTGGTTCGAGCCAGAATTTGAACTCATGCATTCCAATATGAGGGGCCAGTGCTTGACATCCCGAGCAGTGTCTAAAAACTGTGTCTAACGTCTGACACAATTGGAGATTTTATTTAACTCATTTGACAAAAAAGGATTCAGTAGCCGTCATGTACCAAGGCTATTTCCAAGGAATTTAAAACGATCAAACTAACATTGACTAACATTCACTAAATGTTTACCTTGTGTCAAATACTAAGTACTTTACAAATACCACATTTAATAGCTAAAAGTTGCACTTTTATTATTTTAATTTTATACATGTGTAAGCTAAAGGACAAGCAGATTAAGAAACTTGTCTATATTATGTAGAAGACAGGGTCTCATTACACAAAAGCAAAGAGGCAGCATTCACACACAGTGTCATGGAACCTCCTGAAACACAACTCCACATCCTGCACGATGGAGGAGACACGTTATTTTTAGTCATCTCAGTTCGCTAAGTTTAAACAGCAATGAGACACAAGCTATCTCCTCTCCTCAGAACTTACATAAAGCACATACAGAAAAAAAGAATTAAAATTGCCGTTTTTCCATGTGTTTCTGAGTTGCTTTTACTTGGAAAACTCATCAGCACACATAACAAAGGCAACTTGGCTGAGAACTAGTGATTTGAGAAATAAGCAGATTGTGACTCTGAGGCTCTCAAAACGTATGGGTATTGAGGAAGAACAACTGAAGGCTCCCCTTTAGAACAAAAATAGGTGATCAGAAATTAATTTTTCCTTTAGAAAATAGCTTTTGGACAATTAAATGTTTTGCAGGACAGCATGTTAGTTTAAGCATAACATCCCAAAATGAAATGAAATTCTGCTTATGCAAAATTGTTCTGATGACTGCAGAAGGAAATACAAATGTTTTTGTTAACAGTAATTTTCTGGTTAGGTGATAGTAAAGGTCTATTGGAGATCTTACATTAAAATTTATGACGCGTTCAGGTAATCACACAAGTAATTACACAATGGCTAGAATAAAAACTAATACAAAAAGGACATACATTGATACAAACTAACAAAGCCTCCTAAGTTTCAAGCTGAAGGCATGTTATGTTTTCAAAGCTATTAAAAGTTTAGAGTAAATTTCTAATAAATGGGATGAATGATTATAGTGTTCACAGTGAAAGCTCAGTTGTTTAAAAAACTGAACCACATGCTTCTTCTTTTCCCTTAAAAGTTTTTGGAGAAGTTTGTTGTTTTTTTATTATCTTTTACACATATATAAAAAACTTGAACCAAATATCTAAATGACAGTTCTAGATTACGAACATTCCAAAAGTCTATGAGTTTTCTTTTTCTTTTTGGACACACTAACGTTTCCATTCCCCCTAGGACAGTCTGTAAGCAGCTCATCTTGTTTGCTCAGCCAGAAGGAAAAAGTAATTATAAACAGGCCACTTTTATTCCCACTGATAATAAAAATGGCTATATTGATTTCAACTGTGGAAAATTCACAACTTTATGACAAATATTTGTAAATGCCAGATGTCTTAAATGTTACATTTTCCCACAATCTATTTCCTTTCACAATGCAATCAGGGTTAAACACATTAAGGGTTGCAGCTCCTCTAGACTGCTCCCAGAGGCAATTCAGAGGTATCATAGTATAGCAAAAACATTACCATACTTGCTGTGAAAATACCCATCATTCCAGTTGGATACAGTACATCCAGGTAATCATGAAACATGATTTGCATTAGATAAATGGCTACTGACAACTCATGTATGATCTAGCTTCAGTTTATTTTTTTCGAATTTCAGCTAGTTTATCAGAATGGCTAGCTGTTCAATGGCAATTTTTTGCTTGCTATTTTGGTAAGTTGTAAACTCACTTATCAATTTAATTTTGATCTGGTCTTGCTTGCCATCTGTATTTGCTTAATAATTTTTAAGTCTGATTGTTTTAATAACACTTTTTTTGTAAATCAAAAATATATAAGGATAGAAATACATCTCTTTAAAATTTCTATAAGAAGGAGCTGGTGAGGGCTGAATTAGCTAATGCTCCACCTCCAAGTACAGGATCCTATATGGGTGCTAGTTTGTATCTTGGCTGCTCCACTTCTAATTGAGCTCCCTGCTTGTAGCTTCATAAAACAGTAGAGGATGGTTCAAGCCTTTGGGATTCTGCATCCACACAGGAGAATAGGAAGAAGCTCCTGGCCTCTGGTTTTAGATTGGTCATCTCCGGCCACTGTAGTCACTCGTGAAGTGAACCAGTGGACAGCAGATCTTTCTTTCCTTTTCTCAGTAAATCTGTCTTTTTCATGAAAAGAAATAAATCTTTAAAAGATAAATGAATAAAATTTCTATGATAAAACTCTTCCATAAATTACCCATTCATCCTTTTTATTAAATAATTCCAAAACAAAAGTTAAGGACAAATGAGGAAAAAAAACTAAAATGCAATCCCATTGGTTACTAATTTTATAATCATAAAAGCACTTTGTCACTGCTCCAAACATTAAATCCTCTTATGAGGAATCAATCGTATGGGCAGATGTTTAGCTTGGCACTGGATATGCCATCCAGAACACCTCTGTTCCAACACAGAGTGTCTGGGTTTGAGTACCAGCTCTGTGCTTGATTCTAGTTCCCTGCTAATGAGCACCTGGGAGGCAGCGCATGATGGCTCAAGTACTTGGGTTCTTGCCATGAACGTGAGACACCTGGATTGAGGTCCTGGCTCCCTAATTTGTTCTCGTTCATCCCCCAGTTGCTGTGCCATCTGGGGAATGAACTAATGGATAGAAACTATCTCCAAAATAGGTAAGTAAGTAAGTAAATAAATAAATAAATAGGACAACAGTTGCATTAATGAACTAAAAATACAGGAAGCTTCTTAAAAGTTAACTCAAAACAGACTTGAATTAGCTTTTCAGAAATCGCAGAAAATCACCAGATTTTAAAATTATTAGACCTTAACACTCTTGCATAAATACAACAATCTTAGTAATTGAGAATTTTTCCCCCATAGTGCATATACCAAAGTTAGAAATTTCCTCATGCATTATTGCTTAGACAGTCACTAAAGTAAAATTACCTTTTGGAGAACATCTAAAGCTGTAAGTACAGCTTCCTGTAAACTTGTCAAAACTGCTTCAGTGTAAGATGGAAGAATGAAAGGAGATGCATCTGAACTAATTGGGACTGAAACAGCACTGTGCAATATCACTCCCAATTTTTGCAAGTCATCCATGTTGAAGCCAGTTTTTATGTGTTGGTAGAGAGCTGGAAATATCTGAATTAAAGCTGTAAGAAAAGGCTGGCTGGGAATAAAAGTTAGTTTATCAAAAGCGATAGGAGGCTTAGTGCTTTCAGATCCAATTCTATACCAGGTATTCCACGCAGCCCACCAGAGATTCAAGTCTTCAAGCTCATCAGTAACTACTGGTGGCTCAGAACTACTGTATCTTCCAAGTCTTTCACCAATAGAATCTGTTCTTACAAATGGTCTGCTCATGGCAGGCCCTGATACGGACCCTATGAGGACAGGCACAGGCACATTAACAACAGGCGGTGTCTCTGGTTTCTCTGAGTCCCGAACAGGAGACACAATCTGTAAAATTTCCTGGAAGCTTTTCAGAGCTGCCAGAGAAACTTCATTGTTTTTGCTGAGTGCAGCTGATTGTATATGGTCAAGAAGAACATCCCAGGCTTTTGAAAAATCCCCTGTATTAAAAAGAAGAAAGAGTAAAATCTATTAGCATGAAAGTGATCAAAATGTCTCTAAATGTTAGACAATTTAAAGCATATCTGCGTTATTTTTCTGCTTACGTTTCCACAGATCTAAAAAAATTATGGTTAGGTACTAAGGTAGTTAACAATGTGAAATTTAAATCATTACAGTCCAGAAATTCAGAAAAAAAAACCTTTCAGATTAAAGGAGTAAAGGTATCGAGAACAAGTTAGTAGGTATACAAAATAATGTTTTGGTCTTAAAAACGAAATTCTAGGGCCCGGCATGGCAGTCTAGTGGCTGAAGTCCTCGCCTTGCAGGCTCGAGGATCCCATATGGGCGCCGGCTCTGATCCCAGCTGCTCCACTTCCCATTCAGCTCCCAGCTTGTGGCCTGGGAAGGCAGACAAAGCTAGCCCAAGGTCTTGGGACCCTGCACCACATAGGAGACCTGGAGAAGGCTCCTGGTTCGTGGCTTCAGTTACGGCCATTGTGGCTACTCGGGGACTGAACCAGTGGTCGGAAGATGTTTTTTTCTCTCTCTCTTCTGTGTAAACTCTGAATTCCCAATAAAAAATAAACAAATCTTTAGAAAAAAAAAAGGAAACTCTATAACTCTACCAATCGGCATCTGTGTCGATCGATAGATACACACATGCATATACACGTTTATAGTATTTCCTAGTACTTTTACCTAACAAGAATAGAATAAAAATATATGAGTAGAGGCTGGCATTGTAGTGTGGTGAGTAAAGCTGCCAGCATCCCATATGGACATCACATATGCTCCACTTTTGACTCACTTCCCTGATAACAGTCAGTGAAAAAACAATGGAAGATGGCCCAAAGACTTGGGCCCCTGCAACTCATGTGGGAGAGAGGGATGAAGCTCCTGGTTCCTGACTTTGTGGAAACCATCTCAGGAGTGAATCACTGGTTGAAAGATCACTTCCTCTTTCTGTCTCTTCCAGAAACTCTTACAAATAAATAAATCCTTAAAGATAAAAAAAAGTATGACTGAAACAATATTTTTTCAGTAACATATTCAGCTTATCCATATAACATTATTCATAATTAAATAAGACATTGTCTTTTTTATTTGAATTTGTGTGACATGGAGAGACAGACAGACAGAGATCGATCAATCTTCCATTACTGCTTCACTCCCTAAATGGCCTCCCAACAGCCAAGTCAGAGCCAGGATTTCATCCAGGTCTCTCACATTAGTAGCAGGGTACCAGACATCTGGGTCACCATGGTGCTGCCCAGGTGCATCAGCAGGGAGGCAGAGCTGACACAGAGAGCCAGGAATTGAAGCAGCACTCTTACAAGCAGCAGCTTAACGTGCTTTGACACAATGCTGGACTTGTCATTTTCACTCTTAATCACTGAAAATCAATGGAAAATTTAGAAACTGAAAAAGTCTGATACATGTTTTTAGTAAGTACAAGTATTTTAAATATACTGATAAAAAAACCCTTTGATTTTCATATATAAAAAATATTACAGCTGCACAATTTTCTTACATTTTCAGAATCTGAAACATGTGGGTCAGAGGACAGAGAGCTCCCATTCCCTGGTTCAATCTGCAGTGCCTGCACAGCCAGCACTAGAGCAGGCAGAAGCTGGGAGCTCGGACCTCAGTTAAGGTTTACACATGCGTGGCAAGGGCTCAACTACTTGAGCCAACAGGAAAATACAGATTTTTAAGTAAAGTGTTAAAAGCATTCTAACAAATTCTATGTTAAGACCATAAAAACTTCAAATACTTCTGCCTGTTAACATGTCAATTAAAAAGTCAGGAGAAAAACTACAACTACAGTAGCGATCAAATCTCCAATTTAGAATATTCAAAGTTATTTTGGAGGAATAATTTTCTGCCACTCGTTTATTAACACATTTTGTTTCTTGGAAGAAGTCTCCTTTCCAAAACACTAGTTATAATTATATACAGCATGTGGTTATGTCAATATGAACCTTATTCCAAAACAGTAAATGATCACTTAAAAGTCTATTAAGTCACATGAACATACAGAGCATATAAATACAAATAAAATAAGTACAATATTTTATGCAATATGTACAGAAGCATGTATAAAATATTTTGGTCATGTTTCTCCATTATCTCTATTGCAACCATCAAATTCCCAAGTATTATAATGTATATCCAGTCTTGGTCACAATGACATCACTGGTTAGATAATCACAGATTCAAGATAATTCTTTGCTGTGACAGGCATCATCCTTCGCTCTATTTCCTAGATGGCAGTAGTACCCATTCTTTTCCAGCTGCGACAACCAATATCTCTACAGTTACCAAACATTCTGTAAGCATAAACCTGGTAATGCTTGAGAAGCAATGACCAACACCACCAACAGCTTTCTAACTACATCTAGTCATCTTTTCCAGCTTCTGTAACATTCTACAAACACCAACCAAAGTGAAATTTCTGAACGTATATCTGATCATGTCACATCATGGATTAAAATTCTCCTATTTTACGTGTTCTGTCTACCAGACTATCTCTACTGCATCTACTTTTGCCTGATGTCTAAAACTTAGACAAAATATGACTTTCTCAAGGAAATCTGGACTCACAGCCTAGATGAAGATATATTTTAAGCTAACAATATTTCCTTGTAACATTTAACCATTGTATAATTTTGCTACCATTGTATATAGCTTAAGTAAGTGCTAGCCCACAGTAGCTAGATATTGTATATTTTCTCAGTGAATAGAATAAAAATGCAGATGGCCTCACACATAAAGACTGTGAAATAAGTTTTTCTTGGCATTAAATATAAATTCTAAAGGAATCTTCCATATTAATAAAAATTTCTTTCACATATCTGTTTAACCAGAAACAAACAAAAAAAATATACACACCTAAAGGTTGCAATAAATATCTTCTAGTGTTAAAGATTCTTGCTACTCCGGCTAATGTTAATACCCATGTCTCAGCCCACTGCTTCTCGGCTGTATCTCTTGAATGATGAATGAGAATATTGCCACCTCCAGACTCAATCTTTTCTTTGTCTGCAGTGGTAGAAGACTCTCGAACTCGGTCCAAAAGGTGGAAGAGTACCTAAACATTTATTGAAATGTCACATAAAAATATCAGCAACATAGCTCAAAGAACAGCATAGGAAATTAGAAATTATTACAAAAATGCCCTTGTTAGTATTATCAATTACAAAAATTGGAGGAACTGGTCATCAGAGGTGACAATGTATTTTATTCTAAGATCCTAGATTCTGAAAAATTAAAAGAGGGATCCAAAACAATTACAGTACACATTTGATAGAGATCATATCTGTAGCTCCAGGATTAACAATGGTGCTTCTCAACAACATCTGTGAGGGCTGGATAGTTGAGCCTGGTTGGATGGAACTAAGCTTCAATACCCATCAACATGTACAAGAGCCAAATGGGATGTGGGACAGACTGGACTAGTCTGTTACACATACCGGCAAACCAGGGTAGGGAGCGGGCCTGGTGGGAGTTACTGTGGGTCGCTCTGACCAGGCTGCAGTTCCTACTGGTTTATGTGAAGGTCGAGTATGTGCCGGGCAGAACCAGGCTGGACTGCAACATCCATTGGTTCCAGTGGAAGTCGGGGCTAAAAACAGAACCAACCCAGCAATTGCAACCACCAGCTGATCAGGGTGATGGACAGTGCCGGGCCCTGTGCTTGCAAATACACACAAGAATCTGGTCTGGAAAACACCTCAAAGTTTCTTTGGGGATCTCCCCAATCAAAATGCCAGACTCAGAACCCTAACCAAGAAAAGACAGAAGACAGAACAAGTCAATCAACCACCTCAGCTGTATGTTGGCAGTGAAATTCTGGGCAAATGGAGACTCTGTGATGGACTATGTCAATCTGTGGATTCTTCAACGACCTCATCGTGCTTGGAGTGGCGAGTTTGGCAGTGATTCATAACTGTTGAACTATCAAAACCACTTGAACAAGTATCTAAGAGCATGCCCCACAATCGGGAATAGGGGTGGGTGGGAAACTGGGTGGGGCTTATCCCTTAATATCCCCCTTTACCTCAGATACATGAAGGAAATAATAGTCTTACCCACTTCCCTATGACCCTTGAACCTTTTTACCCTAATTAACTATGTAAAGATTGTCAAAAATATAAAAAATGAAAAAAAAAAAACCAACAGTGTTTAACAATAACCAGAAAACAAGTAGTTGAGGCTCGAGAATGTTTACATTTAAAAAGAGGAACAGAAAAAAAAACTAGAATAAAAATCGAACAGAGAGGTAAATACAGGGTGTGAAACAAAAAGCAAGAAATGCAAAAATTTCAAGTAGAAAATAAAAGTGATAATATACTAAAAAATGATTAGGATGATGAAGCACGGCCAGAGTTAGTAGTCAGAAGAGCACCTGTAGGTTATGGACAATTCTTGTGACTCCCCACATGTGGTCTCTCAACAACATCAGCATCAGCATCACCTAGGAGCTTGACAGAAAAACTCTTGGGTGCCGATATTGTGACGCCGCAGGTTATGAGGCCACCTGCTATACTAGTATCACACATATCCACTGACTGGAATCTCAGCTGCTCCACTTCCAACCCAGTTGCCTGCTAATGTGTCTAGAAGAGCAGCAGACCATGGCCCAAAAGTGCTTGGACCCATGCAGCCACAAAGGAAACTCAGATGGAGTTCCAGGCTCCTGGCTTTGGCTTGGTACAGTCCTGATCATTGCAACCAGTTGGGGAGCGAGTCAGGAGGTGGAAGATCTCTCTCTTCTCTTTGCAATTCTGCCTTTCAAATAAATAAGTAAATTAAAAAAAAAAAAGGAAGGAAGAAAGAAAGGGAGACAAAGAAGGAAATCAAATTCTAAGGCAGGCCCTATTTCAAGCCAAAACAAAGCAGGAACTCTGAAGGCAAGATGGCAATGATGATGGTAGCTCAGCAATGAATGCTTTAAACAAGTCCTCTAGGAGACTGTCACACTTTAATGCTTACGTGACCCTAAAATAGAATTATTGGGAAACCAAATTATAAAGAGCTAGGAAAGAGGATGTGAGGGAGGGTTACAAATAGAATTTTATTAAAATAGAACCAATACAACACAAAGAAGCAGGCAATTTTTGGAAAGACAGAATGCTCACTAACAAGTTGTTCATTCTGCAAGATAATTTTAATAAGCGGGTAAAAAATGTATATTTAGCAAGTGACCATGAACACCTAACCAACTAGAGGTTATTTTTGTTTAAGTTTTTAGGTAGCTATCATTGGTATTTACATTCTTTTATAAGCAATTCTAAAATTCTAGTGTGATTGTATTTGAATAATGTAGCTCTCCAAACAAAAGCAGCACCCCATTGTGTGTTATGGATTGACCATACAGGCATTTGAGAAAACAGGGAAATAAAATTAAGGACAAAGGTAAAAATCAAAGCAGAAGTAGCAAGAGAGGAAGATAGAAAAATGAAAATGAAGTTTTTGTTAATTATTTTCTTCTTTAAGATGCAATGTAACATGACAAAATGAAATTCTCTGTTCTGTCAAATACATAAACATTTGTAAATTTTTCTTGAAGAAACACAAAGGAACAAGTTTCACTGAAAAAGTGTGTCTCAATTAAAAGCTTAGCAGCCCAGGCTATTTCACAGTACCTTCCAAATAACGGTGTGCCAGGTTGAGTGCTGTAATAAAGTTCCATGTGCTCCAATGGTAGAAAACAAAGTTTGCCCTGCACTCTTCCTGACAGCAGGACGGGGGTCCACACACAGTTCACCCAACTTTGCATAAAGACATAACCACAAGCAATCAAATGGTGGGGCAGGGTGGAACGGCCGATTCAAAATCTCTCCCTTCTCTTCTGCATGTTTCTGCTGTGCTGCCTCTTCCTTATTTAATTCTTTTTCAATAACTTCTCCTCTTTGGAAAAAATAATCTGAAATATTCCACTTCAAAGCAAAGTAGAAAAATACCATTTTATTCAGAGTTGATTTTAAACATGTAACATTTCAAAAACAAAGAAAAATATAGTATAGTGAACTGTAATACACTGATATATACCCATCATGTATAATTAACTATAAAGAATACCATAATACCATTACCAGCCTAACCAGATTAATTTCTTAATATCAATTAATAATAAACATGAATCTGTACAAAAGCAATTATTGCCTCTAAATACTATCAATGATGATCCCATTCTCAGACACACTAGTGAATGTAACAATTATGCCAATGGCAGAAACATAACAATTCAATATTGTGAATGTAATATGAATGTGTGGTACAATGGCTACTGGAATGTGGCTGCTGGCCCCAAGCCTCGCCAACAAAGACTCCTAACATCCAACACCTGCATTGGTATTAGCGCTTTAGCACTCCGCAATACCTACCTGAGGTAAATTTAAATTCAACTGTACAAATCTCTAAGTTATAATATATGTTTAAAAGATGCTAATTGTCTCTAAATACACATTATAAACAGGTCTCCTTATGTTCATTTCATGTAATATAAATGATATTCTAAATTCAAATATTTTATTATTTGTATAATCAAACTATATAAAATCAAGCTCAAGAGGCCAGTAATTTAACAAGGTTGAATAAAACAGAATTAAAATACATGTTTCAGAGTTTTGGTTCCTCCACTATTATACGTAGCTAACAGAACACTGTTGGCAGATTATAAGACTGCATAAATGGTAACACCTTTTGTATAAGTTTGATTTGCTAAATAGTCAATGAAATCACTGATTAAAAACAACCAAAAGATTAACCTATAACTCTAAAGTCAATGGAAGATTTTCTGTGTATACTATTACTAAATTCTCTCACAACCAACCCTGTAAAAGCCTAATGTCAAGTTATTATACAAAGACAATTCCAAATATTCTATTAATGAATTATTAAGTAATATTACTGAACTCTTCATGCAACCTATAAATTTGATACTTACAAGTCATTTAAGTAATTCCCATGCAGTCAAAAACACTTACTTTCACTGAATCAAAGTTATCTCTAAGTTATGTCATTATAAGAAAGGTAATGTTACTTACCAATAAACCTATTGAGGTTAAACTAATATTAAGTTCTTGGTTATGAAGTCCAAAGCTACCTGCAACTTCTACAACTATCTGAAGGCAAGTGCAAGGCATTGTTGGTAAAAAATCAGTCACTACCAACTGAAGACACTGGAATGCAGTTCGTATCAAGGACTCTCTAAAAAAAATTAAAGAAAAAATACATAATGATCTATTTAAGTGAAATAAGCAAATACAAATCGTAAAATAATACTAACCAAAGAAATTAGAGGAAATATTCTCCAACAGAGATCTTGTAATATTGACCTAAATGTAAGTACACTTTTAAACAAAAATAACAAATAAACCTTGCAGATAAAATAAATCAGGTATTAACAAAATAAGTATTAATATCAAATTATTACTATGTGTAGACTAAAGAAAATGTAAAATGATGATTGAGAAAAGATTCACCAGATATTTTCCCCCATTTTATCCAGCACTGTGCCTAAATGTACAAACACAATGTGCTCACTGAAAAAAAGAGTGAATTTCTAATTCTTTCATATCTCACATAAATATTCAAAGGAATATAAGAATCTACATCTAGTCTGTCAGAAGAGTTACAAATATCAGATGAAAAGAATAAGTATACACTTTCAGTTAAAATGCTAGTAGTAAGCAATAACAGTGAAAATAAAAATTATGATGGTTAATAGTTTTTGAGTGCTTTTTATGTCATAGACTTTCTAAGCATCTTATACATACTAATTTGCTTTGGTGTCACAATAATTTTACACATTACATTGGGGAGAAGAAAAAACTAGCTTGATCTTAGTTATTTGCTTAAAGAAATGTGTTACTATAAATGCCTGAGAAAAATCAGTTTTCCATAAATTATTAGGCATCTTGATGATCTAAAATTGCTCTACTGAATCGTTACAATAAAAATGTGAGCCCCACACTTCAAAATTACAAATATATCCAATGCCTGCAAAATCCCCCCACTGCAATGTCCTCATCCATTTCCTCTCAATGGATATGCTTTCTTCCGTATTCCCTTTCAAGACAGTGAAGGCACTACGCGTTAAACTGCTTCAGAAACCTGCAGTAATTCCTGCTTGCCATAGCCCCTGGAGTCGATCTGCTAAATCTGAAGACTTTTATTTCTAGAAAACCTCTGTATACACACACATACACACTCATTTGCTACCCTCCTGCCCATGCTAAAGTTGCAGTGTAACTACAAAATTACATCTGAACACATCAGTCCTCTGCTTAAAGTCCTAAATTGTCTCCCAAATGTACTTGAAACTAATCCAAGAAGCTCATAAAAGCATAAAAGTTTCCTCATTTTGCCTTTGCCTCTGCCCCTGCTGCTGGAGCTCTATTCTCTCCTGCCATAACAAACTACTTTCTTCCTGGAAGCGCTACTGCAAGTACTTGTTTCTTTCCTATAGCACAATTGCACTTCCAGGGCACCAGCTATTTATCTGTGTGGCCAGAGTGACTAGCAAGCATGGCGTGAGGAATACACAAGACAAAAAACCCTGTGTAATACTCAAGTGAATATACAGTAATTTTGAAGTAGTTTCAGATACTTCCCAATACATAGGAAGGTCAAATTCTAAATAGTATTTCACATCTTACCAAATATTTATTTCACCAAAAGAAAGCCCAATCATGCAAGTGTAATAAAACTTACTAGACTGATTCATCTTTCTTAGCATAAGATTTGTGCTCCCGTATGAATATCAAATAAACAGCAATTCTTCCACCCTTCTGAAACAAAAAGAATCCCCCCAAATACTCTATAGCTACTTGAAAGTAGAGGTAAAAAAAACTCTCACAGATCTTGAACTTCACAGATCTTGAACTTCAGTTTCCATAAATAATTATCACCACCACAGATTGTAGCATGGATTCCCTTTATACCGGCATCACTTTTTGGATGTTAGCTATGAACACTTACCCTTGATCATTTCTAATTGCGCCCATGACTCCAAGCACTAATGGCCATCCAGGTCCAAGGCTGTCTCCTTGACTCTGGAGAATCTGTAATACACATTCTAATTGCTTGAGTCGGATATCAGGATGGTTGATATTGGACATCTCCTTTAATGGGTTCAATAAAAGCAACTGCAGCCGCTGAAAAGGGGGCAAGAAACTGATTAGGGAAAGAAGCCCCCAAAAAGACAAGAAGCTGTTGCTTTTGGTTAAGTTAAATTTGCCTCCATTCAGAGCACTGCATTAAGTTAACTTTTTCTATATTTTCTATTTTTCTATTTTTAACAAACAGTGATTTCTCTAACAGTAACCATTTTAAACTTGTTTTAGCATCTAGTTTTTAAATAAGAAAAAAAATCAATCTTTGAATTATTATATTCAAGATAAAAACAATTTTAAGATTTATCTATTTACTTTCAATGTTAGAGTTACAAAAAGATAGAAAGAATCTTCCGTCAGCTGACTCACTCTCCACATGACCACAAGAGCCAGCATGAAGCCAGGCTGACACAGGAGCTACTGGTTTCACATGGTATCCCAAGAACTTGTATCATCTACTGCTGCTTGTCCCAGGCCATTAGTAGGAAGCTAGATTGGATTTAGAGCAGCCAGAACACAAAGTGGCACCCATCTGGAATGCCAGTGTCACAGGCAGTGGCTTTATTTGCTACACCACAACACCAGCCTCTGTTGCCTTACTTTAAAACACATCGGGGAGAATCAAGATGGTGGAATAGGGTAAGGACACGTTTAAACAAGTGGAGAAACATTAGTCAGCGTAAAGCAAAGAGGACACATTCCAGGAAACAGGAGAAGACAGAACAACAGCAGAGGGGTACCTGGAGACTGACACATAAAGGAAAGCACTGGACACAATGGTGTGGTGTTGCAGTGACTGATACCCCAGTGGCATTCAGCCAGTGACCATGTGATTTGCACTGGCAGCTTGAACTCCACCAGCACCAAGGTGGGAAAGAACATTCACCAGGATCTCAGGAGGTGAACCCAAAGAACTGCTCATTATGCTGGTCTGTTTAATTTGACCAGGAGAAAGGCAGGGTGGCAGGTCCCAGTACGCCAGTGTGCGTACGTGGTAGATTTCCCAGCCCAGTCTGCCCACTAGAGCTGAATCAGGCACCATTTTGTTTAAGTAGGCAAAGGCTATGGTTTGGACTACACATGTACTGAGCTGGAAGTGAATTCACTTCCGGCTCAGTGAACTACAACAATGTGGCATCCTTAATTTCTTTTTTCTTCCTGTTGTTGATTTTCTATTGCGGCTTTTCATTTAAGGGGACATGCAGTAACTGTGTACTGGAGATTATCATATCCAGATGTGAGGATGCAATGCAGTATGCATCTCTACTTCCAGACAAAGATGGACTCCCAATGCAACTGCTTACTATATTTTAACAACAGGATACTGGACTCTGCCATTGTCCATGCCCTCAATGATGTACATATGACTGTTTATGAAGAACTATACTATAGTAATGATATAGGGGAACTCAGTGAGAGAGGAGGGGATGAAGTAGGGGGTAAGGGAAATCCCTGTGCCTAAGAAACTCTATCATAAAATGATAATAATAACAACAACAACAATAATAAAAGCAAAATTAAAAGAAAATAAATAATTAAAAAGAAAAACATCAATTACAAACCAAAATAGAAATGAAACTCACAGAAAGAATTATATCCCTAACTACAATAAAAGAGATGAAAACAAGTCCTACTTCTTAAGATTACCTTGCATGTATTTTATCAATATATATCACATCGATTTAAATTTAAACTTCTCCAGTGTCACGTATTAAATGAAGCTACAGTACATCTGACAAAAATACATATGGGAGGCATTAACAGAGCTGATGTAAAACTACAAAATCCGTTGAAGAATAAAAAGAAAACACTCTGTTCTTTTTAAGTATACAAAAGCACTTGCTTTATTTAACATTTTCTCCTCTATAGAGATTCATCTACATGGTTCACTGACAGCACATATTTATTAACCTCTCTCTATGTGCCATGAATTAAGCTGGACACTGAAGATATTAAAATAAACTGACAAGCAACAGGCTTTTAGCCTAGTGCCCAAGATATCCATGCTCACACCACGATACCAGGGTTCGAAGTCTAACTCTGACTCCTGACTCCAGTTTCCCACCTAAAGTAGGTCCTGGGAAGCAGCAGTGATACCTCAAGTAATTGATTCATGCGTCTCTATAGCAGCCCTGGATTGCACGGTTAGCTCCTTATTTTGACTCCCACCCAGCACCTATCATTAAGGGCACTTTGAGAAATGACTGTAAAATTAAAGCTCCCTCTGCCTCTATAGTAAGTAAAAATAAAATAGTAAGAAATATCGTCTCAAAAATCTCAAAGTGTAAATAAATAAATAAATACATAGATACATACATAAATAAATAAAGTCATCTAAATGTAGGTGCTCTAATAGCCTAGATTTTCTCTGTCTGACTTCAACATTCTATTCCAGGAGCTATATTCAATAATAATGTGTTGAACACATTTGAAGTAGACAACTACAATACAATATGATGATGAGGGCATTGGAGATGGATACTAAACACCACAGTCCCACTCAATCTCACCTACTCACATCCTGAAACAATAAAGTTGAGATTTTTAGAAACTGTAAGATCTTTGAGAATCCCATGAGAAAGGTAAAATTTTGGAAATATAAAATAACTCCAGATTACTTTTTTTAAAAATGTGTTTCACTGTTTTGTTTTGTTTCTTATATAAGGGTAATACTACAAGAAAAAAAAGAGAAACAAACTCAGGTGAGAATCAAAGCCTCAGCATGACATGAAGACAGAACCTGCAGACTGGGAGAGAAATTCTAGTGAGTAGCCTAGGTCATGGTCATTCACAAGGGGCTTAAGGTATTCTTTATGAAGACAACCCAAAAATCTATCTTCTGTGAGAGAGCCATAGTTAAGTTTAAAAATCCTATAATTAGTTCAAAAGAGGAAAGATGACTTTATCTCAAAATATTCTCTTAAAAAATGGGATAAAGTTCTTTTTTTACCTGGTTTTGTGAAAGTGGAGGATCATGATTAAATGTTAATCCTGCTTTAATAAGTGAAGTTAAAGCTTCGGCTCCCCATTCTCTCATTCGAGAGTTTGGATGCTGGCAGACCTAAAGATACATATATGGAACAAAAATTAGATAATTCATTTGTATATAAAAGCTACAAAGCACACACTTAAGAAAAAACATTTCCTGTTCTTTTCACATTCTAAAAGTTATGTCAAAATATCCAATAAGCACTGGAAAAAGAATTATATATCCCAAATATAATCAAGCTTACCTTCTGAATAAGAGCAAGAGGAAGCAATAGGAAAAAAAAAAAGAAGAAGAAAAATATCAAACTAAAATAAGTCACAGAGAAGAAGAATTTCCTAAAGTGATAAATCTTCAGAATAAACAAAATAAGTAAGCTGATACTAAGGTTAAATTTGTAATTAAATACCATGCTAAAATTTGGAAAACCTTATTCATTGTCATTTGATAGCACTATCCAATAATACAGGAATCTGTGCATGTCCTTAATCACCCATAAAAAATAATCTCATAAATTAACAAACAATCAAAAAAACTCATGACGAGCAAGTGTTTAGTTTTGTGACTAGGATACCAGTTAAGAGCCTGGCATCCTACATCAGGGTGACTGACCCGGCTCTGCTTCCTGACTTCATCTTACTGCTAAAGGAAACTCTGGGAGGCAGCAGAGTGGCTGAAAAGACTGGATTCCTGACCTTCACACCCCAGCCTTGGCCTAACTACTGCATGCGTTTGGGGAAGTTAACCAACATGTGGGCTCTGTCTTTGCCCCATGGGTATGTTTATTTTTTTATTTTTTGGCACGTCTTGGTACTTTAATCCTCTGATTTCTTTTTTTTTTATTGTTATTAACATTGTATTATGTGATACAGTTTTATAGGCCCATGGGTATGTTTATAAATAAATATTTTAAAAACATACTCAAAAAAGGAAAAAAACTCATGTACAATTATTTTTCTTATTAAGAGTTCCAACATAACAATCAACTATACCAACCGAACCGAAATTGTATAAACACATGTACTGAAGAAAACAGCTAGTTATTAACCAGCAGTTAAATATTAAAAATATCCCAACTTCAAACAAAATTAATGTAAAACCAGACAGAATCCACAGCACAATTCATAATTAGAGACAACTTAAGAAGACAATATCACCATTGTGTCAAAGATCATAAGTCAGCACATGTAATACTTCTATGCTGCAATTGTCTTGATGTTTTGGAATTACCTAAAACTGAGGTGGCTCAAAAATTATTACAGTTAGAGGAAAAAAGTACCAAGCTAACAGCTGATTTCACTGATATTTTTCATTTTTAAAAAACGATTTTCAGTCAGTTAAAGCAACATACTCTTTCTGTAAACCAATTACTATACAATTTTAGTTCTTAATAAATACATATAAATACAGCATCAACAAAGTTTGAGGATGATGGGTATTAATGCTGATTTTCCAAATGGTTATCTATAACTGTTAGTTTAACATGCATGTCTCCAGTAACAAAAAACTAAAATATAATATTTTACCTCAAGCAGATGGCCAGTTAAAGGTCGCCATAAGATTTCTATTCGGTGCATATTAACTAGACCAGTTTCTAACAACTTGGCAACAGCAAAAAGTGATGGTTCCTAGGCAGAAAACATACTTCATATTGATATAAGGAACATACTTGTTACTTTCACTGCAAATAAAATATTCTGAAGAGTATGGCTATAACTAAATTAAGATTAGTAACAAACATAACAAAATCTGCTATCCCAGGACAAGCCATTTTGTTACCCAGAATAGCTCCTAGTTAGAAAATCTGATTAAGAGAACACTTTAATAGGGAAATGATGAAATGCCAAAAATTACACAGACGCAAAGGAAAGAATCATCCTCATTAGGGACGCCTTAAAATGCCTGGGCTACGGTAGGTGTAATACCAGGAAATCACGAGTATGGCAGAGCTCAGGGCTGTCAGTTCCAGAATGGCAAAGACAGCAGACACAAGTTTTCCAGTCTCTAACAGAAACAACCAATAAGCACGTGGCATTTATCCTATGCATTTGGCCAAACTAGAGTACTGGGAACTTGGGTCAGGAGAACCGTTTCAGAGCAGATGAAACAGAAACTCTACCTAGTCCAACATTAGCGGAGGTGGTAAAACATGCTAAAGTGCAGGTTCAGCTGATGAAAGTCACAAGTTATTTCCTAAAGTGTGGCTGTGGTATCTAACAAAAACATTGCACTAAAAAAATATGGCAAGATAATATAAACAAGAAATTATGAGAATAATATGTTTTCAAAGGCAATAATCTTTATATTTTTAAAATTTTAACAGTGTTGATGAAACCTAGCATGAAAATTTCTTATAGTATCTCTCCTTCCTAGAAGTCTTTGAACTGTGAATTAAGAAGATTGTGGTGTAGGACAAATTCTCAGATGGCAAGGCTGCCCTTTCCCAAGCGTACTAACGATATAGTTAACCTAAAAACAAAATTGATGGTAGAAAAATTCACACAACTCGCTAGCGATATTATGGCATACAGTATTAAGATTGTGAAGTTTAAACAGCCTGCGGTATCAACTCTTCCATGTCATAGTAACTTAACTTTGGGTAATATACAAACTGCTTTTTCTTCATCTATTGGGTAAAGCCCTAACAGTACTAAGAACTCCTTAGGTTAGAAACTGCCAGGCATGGAAGTCACCTGAAACACTGCCTGCCACTGCTTCTTTCTCCACCTCCTTATACCTTAACCCAGCTCTACACACAAGCCATGTGGACATTTAGCAGAGCACTAGACACCCAAGGCTCCGACCTAAAGATTGTTACTCTGGAATATGAAAGGCTATGGTTTTTTATATATATTTTTAAAGATTTATTTATTTTCATTGCAAAGTCAGATATACAGAGAGGAGGAGACAGAGGAAGATCTTCCATCCATCCATTCACTCCCCAAATGGCAGCAACAGCTGGAACTGAACTGATCTGAAGCCTGAAGCCAGGAGCCAAGAGCCTCTTCAGGGTCCCCCACATGCATGCAGGTTCCCAAGGCTTTGGGCTGTCTTTGACCACTTTCCCAGGCCACAAGCAGGGAGCTGGATGGTAAGTGGGGCTACTGAAATTAGAACTGGCACCCATATGGGATCCCAGCACGTACAAGGTGAAGACTTTAACCAGTAGGCTACTGCACCAGGCCCTGGTTTTTTATTTTTAAAAAATGCTCTAGCTACCTCTGTTGTACCTCTAAGATGAAATCACTAACAAGGGAGTTAAGAATGCAGCTTGAGTGAGCTGTGTGCATCTCCGCTTGCTGACAGTTGCTGAACATGTGACCTCAGGAATACTTACAGGTGCCACTGAACCTTACAGAGTTGCCTTAGTAGTGCTCAGCAAGAACCAAGCTCTTAATGAATACTATCTCATATTTCTGTTTTCCTACTGAGCTTAGTCATGGTGGCCTGGGTGGCATTAGTGTCACCTTCTAATAACAAGCTTTGTCATATTACTTCCTAAACACATTGAGACAAAATACTGCAACAGCAACTAAAAACGCTAAGCTAGTCATTTTAAGCCCACAGTTGAGAAAAATCATTAGACACTTTAATACCTAGAATAGCTAATTCATTCAAAACAACTACCATTGCTTAATCACCTGTTTTTCTAAAATGTAGAAAAGCTTGCTATTATTTGCGAATAAACAATCTGTATGAACGCGTAACTGGGTTAATCTTCTATAGCTTTTATCTATAAATACTTTGCAAAGTTTACATTGAATGCTTATAGTACTCTACACCATTAAAAATCCAAAATTGATTTTTTTTAAAGACTTGTTTATTTGAAAGGCAGAGTTATAAAAAGCAGTGACAGAAGGAAGAAGGGTAGGGAGGAGAGGAGAGAGGGAAAGCTAGATCTTCCATCAGCTGGTTTACTCTCCAAATAGTCACAACAGTCCAAAGCCAGGAACAAGGAGCTCCTTCTGGGTCCTGCATAAGTATAACCCCCCAAGCACTGGGGCCGCCCTCCACTGCTTTCTCAGGCACATTAGCAGGGAGCAGGATTGGAAATGTAACAATCACTCTCCAAGTGACCGTAATGGCCGCTGTCAGCCCAATCCGAAGTCAGGAGCCAGGAACTTCCTCTGGGTCTCCCACAAGGGTACAGGGTCCCAAGGCTTTGACCGGTCTCCAACTGATTTCCCAGACTACAAGCAGGAAGTGGGATGGGAAGCAGGGCTGCCGGGATTGGAACCTGCGCCCATATGGGACCCTGGCAGGTTCAAGGCAAGGACTTTCGCCGCTTGGCCAATGCACCAGGCCTTAGACCATAATTTCTTATAACATTTTTCTCTTTTAAGGTCCATGAGTCTTCCCTTTACTCAGTGGCTGTATCTTAGCACTCCTTCCACGTCCAGCTCCAATCACACTGCTTCATCTTGAGTAATCTTTACTCATCATAATAGAAATATGTATTAAAAACAGCTTATGTAACCAGTAACAAAGACTCCAAGAATAAGTCACTTAAAATGTATACACACTTTCATACTATCTTAACTGTCACTTAACCACAAATCAAGTAGTTCATATGCCCTTTTGAAAATAAAAACTCTTATTTCTTGTAAATCTCGTCAGAGTGCCACGTATATGGTGAGCATAATGTGTTTCCAGATTGAATAAATGCTTTAGACATTACCTTATGAGCTTACTTAAATTTTTAAAAACTATATTTATGTGTAAGAATTAATTTTAAAGATGTAGCAGTATTCAAGAAATCAAGAGGGATGATATTGAACAGAGTGTTTAGGATGCCATATGGGATACCTGCATCACATAAAAGAGTACACGGGTATGGGCCCAGCGCTGTGGCCTAGCAACTGACGTCTTGGCCTTGAATGCACCCGGGATCCCATATGGGCACCGGTTCTAATCCCGGCAGCTCCACTTCCCATCCAGCTCCCTGCTTGTGGCCTGGGAAAGCAGTTGAGGATGGCCCAAAGCTTTGGGAACCTGATCCCGGCAGGGGCAGATCTGGAAGAGGTTCCTGGCTATTGGCTTAGGATCAGCACAGCACCGGCTGTTGCACTCACTTGGGGAGTGAATCAATGGATGGAGCATCTTCCTCTCATCCTCTCCTCCTTTCTGTATATCTGACTTTGTAAGAAAAATAAATAAATCTTTTAAAAAAAAAAGAGTACATGGGTTTGAGACTTCACAACACGTCTAATCCCAACTGTCCTGCTAAGAGGCAAAAGGTGAGAACTAATTACTCGTGTCACTGCCAGCCAAGGGAGACCGCGGATTGAGATCCCGGTTCTTGCCTTTGGCCTGCTCCTGCCCCAGGAGATGCAAGCTCTCTCTGTATTTTTCTCTCTTTGTCTCTGATTTCCAAATTAATTGAAAGTTAAGTTTTTTTCTTTTAAAAAGAACTTTAAAAGTTTATTATTTTATGCCATTTTATTATTTTTTCCTTCTATTTTATATTTAATTTTATGATACAACTCTGTAGGATCTGGGATTTCCCTTACCCCCACCCCAAATTCCATCCCCCCAACTGTTTTTCCCCATATTATTACAATAGTATAGTCCTTCAGAAGCAGTCTTCATTCTGCTATTTATGCCATTTCATATCACCCCTACTTTGATATGGAACAAAATAGAATACATATATTCAACCATCTACATGTTTACAGATTCATCTAGGTATGCGTTGTAATATTTGAAACTATACCCTAATAAGATTTTCGTACTAATCTATAAATGAGTCAAATGAGACAAGATGACAAGCCATAACATATAGAAGCATAGCTAAGGCATAGGCAGTCAATGTTTTTTGTTGGATCCTGATTAGTGTTATGGCACCACATGTTAAATCACCGCTTACGGTGGCAGCATAGGTACAAGTCTTACCTAATTTGCTTCTGGTCCAGCTTCCTGTCACTGTGCCTGGGAAGACAACAGATGGCTTCCCTAGAGCACAACCAGGAGACAGCTCCTGGCTCCTGGCTTCCACTTAATCCTGATCTGGCTGCTGTAGCTATGTCGGAAGTAAATCAGTAAATATAAGATCTTTCTCTATTTATTGCTATGCCTTTCAAATAAACACATAATAATTTAAAGATAACATATTTTCATATTTTTAAACCACCTAATTATATTACAGCTTTTTAACCATTTTGAAGTTTTCTTTGTGTTTTTGTAAATGGTCAAACTATTTACTGTACAATGTAGAAAGCACTTTATTTCAATTTTTCTAAGATAAACTCAAATCATTCTGTGCTTCTCAATATAACAAAACACTGCATGTACAGAAAGAAATGTTCTTGAATGTCAGTATTGAAATTACTGCTTTCTTCACTTAATTGATAAGCAAAGCAAAATCTAAATTTGCAAGGTAAAGAGAATTATTACCTTCAGAAAGAAATGATTAGCTCCTTATTTTCCATTCCAGTGACAGCAAAAGAAACTGAGACATATGTATATTCCTTAATTTTAGACTTGTATTACCCCACTTATAAATTCTAAATATAAGTATTATGGTGACCTATAACTACTAACATTATTGCTTATAAAATATTTTAAAAATATAGAACACTAAAGTGGATATAATTTAAAATCATTTTTTAAGACATATCAGAAGCTAAATCAACTCTTCTTTCTCTTCAACAAATTAACAATCATTAATAGTAAAAACCCAACAGTGTATATTGGCATACAAACTGAGTAATAATTCTACTAGTAGAGTGGTAAGATCAAAACACATGTGTAACTTACATAACTAAAGCATGTACCATTATTGATAACTGAAAGGTAGAATATCACACCTTATTATTTCCATAGGCCATATCCATTGCTTCTAGGGATAAGGAGCAAAGTGCATTTATTAAATGATGCAATGATACGTCATCAAGATACCTAAAAGGAAAATGAAGATACAAGATAGTTTGATCTAAAAAGTACAGCTAACAGCAAAGTTTTTATCAGCTTAAAAAAAAGTGAGTCTTACTGTGAGCTTTCAAACAATCTCGAAAGTATATTGGAAATCACTGGTAAATCTGTCATCACTGCCGTTGTTAGGACCTAAGGAAAAACACAAAACTAAATGTAAGATGATGACATTTGCAGAAGCAGTATCTGGGCAAAACAGACAAAAGCTTACCGTACTAGGTCCTTCTACAGCTCTCCCAGGTTTCAAGGCACCACCACTACTAGGCTTTAATCCCAGAATCCATACAAGATGCTGTAAAGTTAAAAATTATATATATATATACACACACATATATATACATATATAAATACACACATATATAAACAAATTCACAAAATTATTACTAAAATTAAATTTTGTAGTATGTTTCTTATAGCTGAAATTAACCTTCATATGAAATAATGATACTGCACAGGCAATAAAACTAAACTCTGCACAGAAGCACTTCCTAAAAGGACATTGTTTCTTCCTTTGCAGTTTCTCTCTTTTCACACCTACTGTCTATTCTTAAAACTTCTCAAAGCAGCAACATCTACTGCTTAGCAATGGCTCACGGAAACAATGCTGATCTCTGACCCAAACACTTCAACATACCTGAAGAGTTGCCAAGACGAGTTGCCACGATGTTCCAAGAACAGCCCCATGGCAGTGCGCTAAGTTAAGCAAAGTCCTCATACATTGGATGTTTTTGGAAGTTAGCTACAATTAGAGATGACAGAGTTCCAAGAAACATTATGGATTATTAAAATTTAAAAGCTTGTAAAGCACCAACAATGTACTAAGTATTTTTTAAAAACACAAAAACAAATATAGGAAAAAAAGTTTTGCATGGTTTATAAGGCATTTGATTACAAGTTGTGTTACCACACTGGTTACAATATCAACTGCACAACTAACTAGTTTTTTCCTGAAAACATCACACAGGAGCCAGCATTGTGGCCCACTGTTGGGCCATCACTTGCGCTGCCAGCGTCCCATAGAAATGCTAGCCATGGCTCTGGCTGCTCTGCTTCCAACTCAGCGCCCTGCTAGGATCCCTGAGAAAATAGAGAAGATGAGCATGGTACTTAGGCCTCTGCTCCCAATATGAGAGATCTAGATGGAGTTCTAGGCTCCTGCTTCCAGCCTGGCCCAGCTCCAGCCATTTGAGAGTTGAGCCAGGAGAGAGAAAGCCTTTCTCTCCCGAACTCCTTCTTTCTCTATTTTCCTCCCTAAAACTCTGTTTTCCAAATACATATTTAAGAAAAAAGATCTCATCCAGGTAAAAGGTAAGTGTGCTGAAAGATTTTGTCAAAAACACACTGAAAGAGTATCACATATTTCCTTGCTTATTAATCAGTAACCAAGAGAACAAATACATTACCATGACTGTGCCCTGAGGTTGGACGGCCAGAGGCTGACCCACTGCCACAACTTGCTGGTGAGATTCACTTGATGGACTTATCATCATAACACTTTGGCCCTGAATGGAATACGCTAGGACACAAAGGAAAGCCTAACTAATTAAATGTACTTTTAATATTACATTCAAAGTAATGTCATGCAATTATTTAAATGTATTAATTTGATTAAGTTGATCATAACACATATTTGGTTATTGGTATGGGGGACAGGTGCATAACCTAGTGGTTAAGCTGCCTGTGTCCCACATTAACGGGCCTGAGTTAGAGTCCTCTGCCAGGTCCTGATTACAGCTTCCTTCCAGGGCAGACCATGGGAAACAGCAGGTGGTGACTCAGGTAATGGCATTCTTGCCACCCCCAAGGAGATGGGGATTACACTCCCGGCTTCCAGCTTTGCCTCCAGCTAGCTCCTCTTGCAGGCATATGTTGAATGAACAAGTAAATGGGAGTGCATTCTTTCTCTCTCACTTTCCTCTCTCTCCCATTCTGATTTTCCAACAGTAAATAAATGCACATCTATACATGTTGAGTACCCTTTTATCTGAAAACCTTGGGATTAGAATTATTTCAATTCCAGAATTCTTTCAGAATCTGGATTTTTTCGAATTAGGGATACTGACCTTTTAAAAAAAAATCTATCAGTTATAGGCCAACATTTTTAAAACTTCAGAGACAAAAAACCAAGTTAGGTAACTGTTAACCAGTAAAAATTATGAAACATTATATTTCTTCATAAGCAGAATAGAATTAGTTACTATTAATTACTTCAAACATATATTTCCAATATATTTTACTAGTTAGTTAGACCAATACATTTTCAGTCTGAAACAGAAGCATACTGAAATACATATCAAATGTAACAAATGAATAATTCTCAAAGTATTCAACAAGAAAGCAATCTTGAAATTCAGCTTAATCTAAGTGACTGTTCTATTTGTTCCATTAAAAAAATTCACTATTACATTTTTACACTATCATACAGTTTACAAAAGACTATTAGATTTGTCTACTTGTTTTCACAATTACAGTTTAAAACTGGTATCATTAGCCCCGTCACTTCCAATGTTTTAAAGAGAGGAAGGAACTGAAGCTCCGAGACATCAAGTACCCAAAGACCACAAGCAGGCCAGCAGAGGCTTGAACTCAGAATGTTTAGGTCTCCCGTGCATCACACCATCCCACTGGAAGGAAAGAACTTGGACAAGTCTAAGTCTTACATTTATTGGTCAGTGCAGCAGCAGTGGTGGTGTTTAATACAGTAAGTGCATAGTGTGGAGGCAGGGAGCCCTTGCACATCGCTGTTATAAAGGCATCTCGTGAAGTCACCAGGCCCAGTCTTCCACAAAGAGCAGCCATCGTCAGCTCAGCTTTCAAAATACTCTCTGTGGCAGCTTCATCTGTGCTAAAAAGATTTTACTTAATCTGATAAACTGATTTTAACTGTAGCATAAAATATAACAAAATAGGCATTCAATAATACTTTAATAAAATCTATTCAAAGATGCCATCAAAATCAATATACTGAAGGAATATATTCTGAAAATTTGAATTAAAACAATGCTCAATACGACTGAATGATCAAGAATCCAAAGATTTAACCCAAAATACTGATTATTTTAAATCAGTAAATTTGAACTATATTTTATTCTGTTAAAAAGTAAAAACCCCCAGGCCCAGCACAGTAGCTTAGGGGCCAGGATCCTATATGGGTGCTGGTTCTGGTTCTGGCAGTCCTGCTTCCCATCCAGTTCCCTGTTTGTGGCCTGGGAAGGCAGTCGAGATTGGCCCAAGGCCTTGGGACCCTGCACCTGCGTGGGAGACCTGAAGGTGCTTCAGGCTCTTGGCTTTGGATCAGTGTAGTTCCAACTGCTGCGTTACTTGGTGAGTGAATCATCGGACAGAGGATCTTCCTCTCTGTCTCTCCCCCTTTACATATTTATCTGACTTTGTAATGAAAATAAATAAATCGTAAAACAAAAAAGTAAATCCCCCAAAATTAAATTTAAAAATTATGCAGATAAAATTTAATTGATTGCACTAAAATTCAAAAAAAAAATTTAAATGTAAAAATAAAAACATGATGCATAGCATTTAAAAAGAAAAAAATAAGTAAAGTCAGCAGATTCTGAAACCCTAAAGGAAAACATCAACTAAAGAAATTAATCACTATGACTATGAAAGCAGTAACAATTTAAAATGAAAAAGACACACCAGTTTTAGGATTGTAATTTTCACTAGAGCACAACAATTTTGGAGTGGGGCAAGGCAGGATAAGCATGACTATGACAGAAAAACATCTTCTACACATAAAATACTGATATAGGAAATAATGCTTGGGACAAGTTACGTAAATTATTTTAGTGTATTTCTTCTTGCTTTTACACTACCATAATGTAATGCGGCACGCTCAAAGACGTAATACCTGGCATCCAGAAGCAGCGAGAGTGCAGCCAGGAGACCACACCAGCAGGCATTCACCATTTCTTCCCAAATGGCTCTACTAACTTAAAAGAGGAAAAACACAATACTTACTGATAATGATAGATGTCATAACATTTAACAATATGCAAAATTTCCCTGGCTATTTGACAACATGCCCAATACTCTATCAACAACTCTATTATTAGATCATAGAGCTCTAACATTTAAATTATATCTAAATATAAGACTCTTCAGACTTTAAGACGGTTTAAAGCTGATATGTTTTAAGATATCTACAGCAAAGTCTTTGTGTACATGAGTTAACTGACTTTTTAAAAAAAAATTGTATTAGTTCTTACACCTTTTCTATTCATCACGCCAAACTTTCAGTCTACAGGACAGCTTGGAGTGAGAGAGGGTTACATTATAAGAAGGTAGCTCTGCCAGGAAATCAGTTACACATTCTGAAAATGAAGCAAATAAATACAAATACAACAGGCACAATGGGATTAGGTGCCTGATAGAAGGAAATTACAAAAAGGGAAAATTAAAAATAAACCTGTGGAACTGAACTGGAAATTAGTGTGACATTACGGCATTAAATGTACATATTAAAATGTCGAAGGGTGTGTATATCTCCTGTCCACCAAGAAGCACACCCAGGGCCCACGTGACAGCTCAACACCATTCTCCACAAAAAGGAAAATGGGCCTCTTCCAAAAATGACGGCACCTGACCTAAGCAAAAAATACCCAAGATCCGCTTCAAACATCGTGCCTCACCAAGTAGTAAGGAAACACTCAAAAAGAGATGAAACAAGCCCCCAAAACACCAGGATTAACATGAATGGCATCCACTAGTCATGCTGGGGATAATGTAACAGTCAGAGATTGTTATCTAATAATAAATAAATCCATTTATTAAATGGACTCTACACTAACATATAAGAACAAATGAAAAACAAATCAATGTGGAAAACATTCTTTTCTCTTATAAGATTCAAAGTATTTCTTTACAAGAAGGTAATAATTAATTTTATACTGAAGAAACTTGACTAGCATCTTGTTAACCAAATGAGCAAAGAGGACATTTCCAATAACGCAGCAAAGTTTTGCTGTATGCTTTCTCCTGTGTATTAAATTAAATACATATTAAGTACAGCACAGTAAAATGTCTGTACTAGTTCTACCATAAATAAATAAATATACCTAAATAAAAAATGTGAGAAAACTCAAATTGACTAGGCCATATTCTTCATTAATGTTAGTCATATCAAAGGGAACTGTTCCACATTGGAGAAGAGCACAGACATGTTCACCAAATGGAACAGAAGATCTTGTCTCATATTTAGTGCAAACGGCAAGAGCTGAATGGAATCTGGGGTTAGGCAGCATTGCTGGACTAACACTTAATTTCTGATGGTAAATGCACTATGGTCTGTGGACGCCTGCCAAACCTTTATGAAATACACAGTGAAGTATGAAGGGGTAATGGGAACCATGCTTGCAACTTACACAGCTTAGGAAAAAAAGTATAATAAAATCTATATTAACTGAGAAAACAGTTATTGTAATATGGCAAAGTGTTAACAACAGAAAAAAAAAGTAAAGGATATATGGGAACTTTACTATTTTTGTGAATTTCAAAGTGTTTCCAAATAAAACTTGAAAATAGAGCATCATACCAGTTCCCTTATCCACGTGGTCTGATGCTGACTGCCTGTCTTGTTCTTCTGCAGAGGCTGTTGGTGAAGACTCTCCTTCAGTGGTGGACTGACATTCTGTTTCAACCTCTCCTAACTCGCCTTCAATCATACTAGTGATTCCACGGACAAGGTCTAGCAAACAATGGAACGCCACAGACATGGCATAACCTTCTGGTATTGTTGGGGGCTCAACTTTGTCCAGCATCTCTAGGCTGCATGATGAAAAAAAATTAATGCATTATTGAAAAGTCGAATGAAAAGATTAAAATATTATTTCTGTAACTTATACATAATATAAATTAAGATAAATAGAACAGCAAAAGTATACAGACAATATTTAAGAGTCTGTTTCATTTGGAGCAGGATCCCTTTATCATATCCAAAGAAAACTCCTTAGAAATATTAAGGCCTAATCACAGACAAAACTATTTTAATAATTTACTTATCTTTTCCAATTGTGCCAATATCTCCACTAAACGTTCATATCAGAAAAATAAACACCAATAATCAAAATATATATTAAGAGTTTAAAATAGTATGAAACTTTAACTTAAGCACTTTTAAAATTATATTATCAATTCAAATCAATATTGTAAATAAGAGGAACACACTTTCATGTTCTGGGAAAATGTAACTGTGATGGTAATTTGATTATTTATGAAAAAAATAAAAGCTGTAGCCAGTAATAAGTGGCTAAAGAAATCCAGGTAATCAGGAATATACTTACTTTATTGATTTAAAAACTAAAGTTCTAATGGGGAGAGTTATGGGCTTAATCTTTACCAGGCCAATTAGTTTTACAGTTATATACCTAACAAGTCAGTGCTAAGCATCTTCTTAGACAAATTTCTGTTCTCAAAAAAAAAAAAAAGAGTTTATTCAGAAATTATACCTAAAACAGATAACAAAGGAAATGCTGCCAAGTTCTATAATACAGACTCCAGAGAAAAATCACTTTATATGAACTTCACAATGAATGAAAAAAATACATGAATTCAACAGGGAAACTCCAAGGTGAAAATGCAGCCCACAGACAAAACAACAGCCAATTTGTATTACGATTCCAGAAATAATCCCAGTATTGACAATAAAAAACATTCATTCTTTAGAGATTTAGTCCTAACTTTGTCTTCAAAATGAAAATTTCACATAAAATATAGAATGCTATACAGAAAATAGTAGAATTCAGTAACAGAATAAAGTCCAAGTCTCTCAGGTAACAATATTAATTTTCACTCATTTTCACTTTTACTACAACTTGGCCAAGTTACTTGTCCTTTGTGGTTTGCTTCTTTTTCCCCCACCCATTCAGCACAGATCTTCAATTCCTGCCTTTTATCGGGTGCCCACCCAACATGATCTCATCAGAGAAGAGACCCTTCTGCCCTCATCTTCACCTTCACCACTTTCTTTCACCTGGCTTTCTTCAAAATAAAATCACTATCCAAAATCATATAATATTTATTGCTGTCTTTATCTCAGTAGCTAAAATATAAAGTGTAAGAGGGCAAGAATTTCCTAGTTTGTTTTTTTTTAATTTATAAAATGAGGCAGGGAAGTGAAGTAGGTAATTATTAATGTATCCTTTCACCATAAAAATCTGATTCTTGAGGCTGGCATTTTGGTACAACAAGTTAAGTGGCTGTCTGCAACAATGGTATCCCAATTAAGTCCTAGTTGCTCCAAACAATGTGATTAGCTAAGCACATGAAATTTTTCTCATGTACATAATCTTGATACTTAGATATATCATTATGCCCATTTTAAAGATGAAAGAAATGAGGTTAGAAAAAAATATTAACCAGTTGGCTGATGGTAACTTGGTTAATAATTTGAAGACCCAAATCCACAGAGTCTGAAACTAAGCTATACATTTCAAACCAAAACCTATACAGGATAAGCGGGTTCTTCAGTCTTAAAAAAAAAAAAATCCTATTTCTATTTTAGAATGTTACCAACAGTCTATAAATAGCACAAAGAAAATAAAATCTAGCCCTACATTAAAAACTCTGAAAATACGACAAAATAAGTTTTGACATGCACTGGAAACAACAGATCTAAAATTTAAAATAATGCATAGAGAGAAATGTATTAGGATCAAATATCACCCCAAACAAGACTGCTCCTTGTAGAATAATGTCACTACTACTTACTAGGTGGCTTTAGCACTGCCTTGAACTGTCACACTCAGAATAGGTATCCAAGTTCCTCTATATTCAAATGCTGGTAGCAAAGTAACACCTCCACCAATCCCCACCATTCCTGAGTTAGCTGGTGCTGATACTGGCCCACCAGAATTGTTGTTACCTATCACATAAGGTAGAAAAATAAGCAAAGATTTAGTTTAAAACTTTCTACTTTCCTGGTCAATCTTAACAACAATTTGTCCTATGCAATCACAATGGGAATTGTACAAATAAAAGAAATTTGTCAACTATTTTACCAATTTGAGAAATTCTGTTTTCTAAAAAAATCATTTCTAAATAAAAGCTATTATAGTAAAACTGACAATGTGTGATATGCATTTCATTATACTCCTTTTTTAAAATCAAAGGTGACAACAAAAAAGACCATCAGTCAGTTAATATGAAGAAGACTAAGAATGTAAAGGGAAGCAAAATCTATACATTGATTCCCAAACTACATGTGGAAAGCAGTTCTAACAAAGCTCATAAGGCTTTCTCTCTAGGCTGGAGAGAAAGTAAGTAAGCATTGTTCTAAAATGAAGATTAGCCCCAAAACTTTCCTTTTTCTATGATTAGAAAAAATGCAAAATACATCAGAGAAGAAAATTTACTCTAAAAGAAATGCACACAGTTTCCTTAGTAAGACCAAAATATTCTGTAAGTGTAAACATTTATTACCTGTGTATTTGGGCAATCCAAAGTTTTCTAGTTTTCAGGACTGCCATAAAATATTCCCCTCATAATAGTGAATATTGCAAATCATGGTAAAGAAAAAATATCAATCTGTCCTTACCAGCCTGGTTGGTTGCAGCAGGATTCCCAGTAGGAGGAACAAGAAACAAGGACTGGATAAAAGATCCCAGTGCATTCACAATATCACGAAAAACCTTGGTAGAATGCTGTTTCATATCATAGGACTGACAAAATGACCTATAAAAGAATTTGCAAAGTTTCTGACAAAAAAAAACATTCAAACATATTAAGTTTTTTAACATTTTTAATATTAAGTGATGCTGCACAAAAGTTTCAATGCCATACTTGATGATTAGTCATCACGCCTGAACTACTACACTAATTAGATCAGACCAAGATCCAGCTTCTTAAAAAGAAATTTATCTTACTGGCTGGTTGTCTGTGTGTATATGTATGTTTGTGTGTGTATACAGGATCTCTTTTAAAAGATATACTGGCAGAGGCAGAAAGAGAGATAGAGATCTTCCATGTAGTGGTTCACTCCTCAAATGGCCACTATGCCTGGGACTGGAACAAGGTGAGATCGGGAACCTGGAATCTCACTGAGGTCTCCCATGTGGTGGCAGAGGCCCAAGCACTTAGCCACCTTCCACTGCTTTTCCTGGTGCATTTTCAGGGAACTACATCAGCAGTGCTGCAGCCAGGTTCAAACTTGGATACCATCATGCAAGCAGTGGTTTAACCTGAAACAACACTAGTCCCTCTTGGCTGCAATATAACCTAGTCAATGCAGCTTGATGGCAATCACTAATCATACGTACCAACTACCACTCAGTGTTTTTTCCTCACACTTAACACCCTGCTCCTCTATATAAAGGACATTCTTTATTTGGAAATCACTAAAATCTCATTAACCTACTAATAACAAAAATTGACAAGGTTATACCTTAACAGCTGAGGTTGCACACAAAGTCTGTGTATTGATTCCACTGCAACAGCTCGTAACCATTGTGGTTTATCAGCATCCAGAAATTTAACCAGGAGTGACAGAAATATCTCACATTCAGTTACCTATAAAGTAAACAATTGTTTAATAATACTGCTTCAAATTACAAGAATTGTAACTACTATTCTTGTTCTTAACTTACTCTTGCTCTTAACTCTAGCTCAAAAACCAATAAAAATCTTTCAGATTTGAAATAAACTAAAATTCCTAATAGGAAATGAAAAAAAAAATAGAGAGAAAGGCGAGGTAATTATACTACACGGAAAAACTAAGAGTCAAATAATCAACATCCATCTAATTATATTCTCGCAAACACCAGTGATTAATAATTAGTCGTTCATGCTATTCTTCAGGAGATATAGAATATCACCATGCCATCTTTATTCCTATAAATTTCCAGGTGGCATATATCATGTAAACTCCTGAAGGATGACCAGCAATATCACAACATTTAACTGTACTTTCTTTAGCTGTTTAACAATCAAAGAGTTAATAAGTCAAGAGGTGCTTCAGTAAAAAATATTTTATCAGTTTATGTAAAACAATTAGAATAGAAACAAATTGTGTGAGCTATCATTACTCTTGCTATACTCATAGCCCATCTTCTTTGCCAGCTTTTTAAAATCAATAATGTGTATAACACACGTCTGATGACCAAATGAACAAACAAAAGCTAATCCTTTTATTCAAAGGCACATGGATCTTTTTTGTTACTAACCAAGGACTAGCACACTTCCTGGCTGGTGTCTTGTCTTGTCTTCACAAGTTAAAGAGAAAGAGAAAGCAACTCCCTCTGGTGACTTTCGCATATGAGGGACTCACTACTTGACCTCACCTAAGCCTAAACACTTCCAAAAGATCACACAGACAAACAGCACAAACACTGAGGATCATGCTTCAGTGTAAGAATTTTAGGGAATACAATTCAGTCCACAGTATCAAATTTTATAAAAACATAAGGCAAATAACTTATTAGTTCCAAATAATTTATCAGCCAAAGAAACAAAATGATTTCTAAACCTGCTCTGAGGAAATAACAACGCACATTTCTAAATAGAAGGAAAGGGTTAGTTGTGTATTATTAACAAATGAATATTAAAGAAACAGGAGAAAAGCCTTCTCTTCCTGGAGTCTTATTCTAATGCAATTAAGCCTAAATTCTACAAACAGAAAAAGGCCCTCTAAGACAATCCTGCCAATATTTAGGGAAGAAGTGCAGATGTGGAACGAAGTGGGCAGAGCGACTAGAATAAAAACTCCCTATGCACTTCAAGACCCCACCTGGCCTAACTACCTCATCTGATAGAAACTATGGCCTCTACATAAGCCCATGCATTTCCTCCTCTTTGAAAATCTATTCATCCTGGGCCCAGCACAGTAGCCTAGCGGCTAAACCCTCGCCTTGCATGTACCAGGATCCCATATGGGCACCAGTTCATATCCTGGCTACCCTACTTCTCATCCAGTTCCCTGCTTGTGGCCTGGGAAAGCAGTTGAGGACAGCCCAAAGCCTTGGGAGACCCAGAAGAAGCTGCTGGCTTCGGACTGGCTCAGCTCTGGCAGTTGTGGCCACTTGGGGAGTGAACAAACGGATGGAAGATCTTTCTCTTTGTATCTCCCTCTCTCTGTATATCTACCTTTCCAATTAAAATAGGTAAATCAATAAATCTTAAAAAAAAAATACAATAAAGCAGTACAAGATGGCACAAAGCCTTGGACCTTGCACCAACATTTTTGACCCAGAAGATGTTCCTGGCTCCTGGCTTTGGAACAGCTCAGCTCTGGCTGTTGCAGCAACTTGGAGAGTAAATCAGTGGACGAATGAGCTTTCTCTCGGTCTCTTTCTCTGTAAAACTGCCTTTCCAAAAAAACAAAAACAAAAGCAACAACAAAAAAACCTTTTCCTGAAGAAATTGAAAAATTTAAACTCCTTATTTAATAAACCCCTGTCTAAAAAGAGTACAGCATGTATTCCACACACAGACATGTCCTAGAACAAGCACTTACCAAGAGACTGTAAAACTGCTTAATGAGAACGGAGACTACTCTCAGCAAACGCATGCAGATGGGAAAATACGGCTTTTCCACTGGTGCCGGGGAAGACGAAGTGTTGGAACCTTGTCTGAACTTTATATTTGGAGAAAACAGCTTTATCACAAGAGGGCATACCCTCTCCTTGAGGAGAAAACTAAATTCCTGATGCTTTTGCAAAGAAAAAAGAGAAAAATTAACTCAGATTGCACTTCACACTTTGAAAACATAACTTCACCACTTAATAAAACTTCTTGATGATCAGTACCTCTAATTTAGCTTTATCAATTTACCTGTTTTATTAACTTAGTTGGTACACACTTTTGAAATTCATATTGCTCTTAATATGTCTAAGAACAAAATGACACTATTTCAGGCTTTTAACAAAAAAATAATTTAAAAAAAAGCAAGATAAAACTAAATCGTTGTATATTCCAATCTAGGCTGTAATGTTTTTCATTTTCAATGTGGAAAAAACATATGCTACTTTCTTGAAAAGCATTTATTAAGAAATTAAAAACGTTATAATTGACTTACTTGTAAAAAGACTTGTGGAAAATCATTCAGGACAGACTCCAGTAATTCAAGGCCAAATGTTCGAGTCATTTCTGTCATGCCTACCAGCCAGTAAGGGGCATCAGCATTAACCAACTGACAAAGGTCCTGGGAAAACAAATCAAATCATTTCCTTCTCTAGAATGAAATGTACTTTTCAAAACCCATAGCTCATAAAATTTATAAAAACTCCAAGCTTCTCTTTTTATCTGCTCTTTAGTAACTAAACTTTGGTGAATCAAAGTTTGAAAAGTTGCATATTGGATGAATTATATATATAAACTTCTAAAGAATAATATAACTATAAAAAACATATACAGCAGAAAGATAACTTATTCTTTTTAATGAAATAATTTACTTGAAATCCCAATTACTAAAATATTTAATTTAAAATACAGGTTCATGACTTTAATTTCCTTGTTAAAGGAAATTTTTTTTATGATAGCTATCCTTGATACATCTATTTTGTCCTGGGTTTAATTATTTTATTTCCTTAAAGTGAATCATATAATCATGCTAATTACCATATAGTAAATGTACAAGTTATTCCCTAATGTATTCCCTAAGTAGCTATTTTAATGCTACTTTTGACATACATCTCAAAAGTTCACATTAACAAAGGTACAAAATTCACACAAAACTATGTACTACAAGAAAAATTATTTTTAAGTGCAATACCTGAAAAAGCATATATGCATCTTTAGCACAAGGTCTGAGGGTACTGACAGATCTTCTGTTACTATTTCCTTGGACTAGTACAGGTTGTTCCACAATACCTGCAACCAAAATTCTAATGAGTTTGAGGATTTCTTAACGGTGTTTAATAAATCATATATACTATTTACAAGATGTTTTTAAAAGAAGTGCTTATTTATGAAACTATAAAGTTAAGTTTAATTACAACTTTTCATAATTTCATGACCATGAGAACTATGCCTCCAAATTGAAAGAGAGCTATTTTAATACAAAAATACCATAAAATTCACTCTTCACTATTTTATATTCTTTTTTAATAAGCTCAGTACCTTTCTCTACATACATGATTTTACTACTGTCTCATTTTTGAGCTGATTTCATTTGAAATTCACATGATCTTTCAATTAGAATAGTGGTAGCTATATGTAGGAAAGCACTGAAAGAAGTTCTAAAATACTGAAACGAAATTAAATAGCCTATATTTGACTAGATTATTAATTTATAGAATAGCTAAAAACATACTGTAGCTAATAAAATTTAAAGGATGAAGATAAGGAATACTGTGAAAAAAATCACAGACTGTAACACTTGGCTAAACATCCCCACAATGGGATAAGGACCTGCTAAGATGACTGTCTCATTCTGGAGCCCCTGGGGTTAATAGCAGCTGCAGCTCCCGGTACTAACAAGGACTGTTAGAAAGCAGCAAGCAATGACTCGGGGAATTGAGCTGCCTTTGGAGACACAGACTGAGCTCCTGGGTCTGGTTCAGGCTTGGCCTGACCCCCACAGGCTGTGCGCAGCTGAGGAAGGGGAAGGAGGTTACTCGTAACTTGTCCCTGTCTCTCAATCAGCCGCAGACACATGCACACACACATGCACACACACATGCACAAACACTATCCACACACAGGGCAATCTTCAGCTTAAAATGTGAAAGTATCATCTCCAAGATAAAATTAAGCATATATTGAAAATAAACACCAAAAATGATGATTCTACCTCTTAGGGTAATTAAATTTGCAGGGATTTATGTTTTAGGTGTCATTTTAATATAATAGTGTTAATACACATTTTCAGAGTACTCTAGTGTTTAGGTAACCTAAAATATGCTAAAACCATAGGGCAAAGAGTGAAAATTCAATAAAACCATTACGTAAGAAACACCAATAATCACACAAGGAAGGGACTTTCCCACGCTACCTTTGTGGTGCTCATCTTCTGCGACCATCCTCTCAAACACAACTGTTACAACTTGTCGCACTGTTGCAGCAGCAGTATTATTTGTAATATTATCTTTTGTGAAGTGTAATCGAAAACAAAGAACAATTGCCTAAAAAAATTGCATTAAAGTAAGATGAAGATCATGGCTATTATTCTTATTTTATCAGATGCAACGCCAAATTAAACAATTTCTGCTTGGTTATTTCAACCTCAGATACTTAAAATTCCACTCTTTCATAGAATGAAGCTATACAAATCTTCAAATTCTGAAATAATTCAAACTGTCAACAGCTGCTTTTGATTATCTAAGTAAAGTAACTAGCTCTTTTAATCTTTCAGGTTGAGTTGCTCTGCATTACTGAGATCACTTTGAAAAATAATACATGAATTTGTTAAGCATATAGATGAAAACATGCTTTGAAAAGAAACCTTTATTTTACTCTTTTTCAAATCAACTTTATTGAGGTGTAATTCATACATAATAAACTGTTTCCCCTCAAAGTTGAACCTAAGGAGATCTGACGAGTGCACAAGCCTGTGAAACCAGTACTGTCACACTGGGATGGAGGACATTTTCATCACCTCAAAGGTTTCCTTGCACTCCTTTGCAGTTCATCTCTTTTCTCACCTCTGGCCCCAAACAATCACCCATTTTCTCAAAGCTGTTTAGTCAGTATTTGCTATCATTTTATCTAAACATGTGCTCTTCTATGTCTGGCTTCTTTTCACTTGGGGATATTTGTGTAATTTACCCTCACAGTTAAGTGCATTGATTTGTATCCTTTTAATATTAAGTATTTTTCCATGGCATCAAGGTACAACACTGCCTTTATCCCTTAATCTCCTGATGCACTTCTGGACAGTTTCTAGTTTGGGACTATTAAATTAACTAGCATGAATTTCCATATACAAGTCTCTGTGAGGACTTAGGTAAATACCTAGGAATGAAATGTTTGGGTTGTACAGTAAGCACAGGTATAACATTTTAGGACAGTTTCCCAAAGTAGCTTAGAAACAACTTTATGTAGCCTCATCAACACTTAATGTGGTCAGTCTTATACATTTGTAACCATCCTAGTGGACGTGTAACGGATATCCTGGTGGTTTAAATTCAAACTTCCCTGATTACCATGAGGCTTTTTTCATGATTCAGTTATTTTAATATTTTGTAGAGCATCTGTTGAAATCATCTGTCTTATGAATAAATTATAGAAGTTACTTATATAATTTCTATATACAAATTCCTGTGATAGTTTTTTGTAACTATTTTCCCTCATTCTGTGGCTTATGGTTTACAAATTTTGTTGACTGTCTTTGCCTGTCCCAGGATCTCATGATTTAATTTTTTTCTATGTGTTCTAGACGTTATATAGTTTAAATGAAGCCACAGAGAAAAACATAATGCTGTCATATAATAGAAAAAAAAAAACCAAAAACATAATAGTCATTTAGAGTCAATGCTTTATCACCTCAATTACACTATCCCTTTGTCATCACTATTACTCTTCCTATTTCCACACAAAGGAAAAGCATGCTACATGGTAATACAGAAGCTTTCATGTCACTCAATCTTTGTATTTCTTTATATTTGATATTTTTATCCCAAAATATGTTATTACCAAATTAACATATAATCCTACAATCAGTTTTTACTTCTTTAGCAGGTCAAACAATAAATTTCTACAATTTTAAATATATGTAAAAGAATAAAAATTTAATAGCTAGAAACTTAAAGTGCTATCTACAATAAAATTTTATAAAAATAAAGCACCTTGTAGTTATAAGCTTAAAAGAATAAACTATTTGAAATTCAGTGAAAATGCTATAACCTAGAGACATCAAATGAATAAACAGAAAAGGTAGATACTATCTCACTCAAGTTAGTTACACATAGGTTTAATGTGACAGCATTCTTCCCTATATTATACGTCATTCACCCTTAAATCACACAAACTGCAATAAGTTACAAAGTCCAAAATGTTCACTAGACAAAAAAATCAATGATTAAATACATCTCTTTATATATCTCTCTACTCAAATCTTTATACTTATATTTTTTAAAAACTCTCAATAGGAACAAGCAAAACACCAGTTTCTGGGCTAAAGTAGTAGGGGGAGGGGTGTGGCACAAAAGAAATGATAAACAGCTACAAACACACAAAACTACCAACTAAAAAAACCAAAAGCAGCCTTTTGTAGCCACTTAAAAGACAGATTTGAACCATCTGGATTACAAAGTGCATATATGTGAAATTTTTTCTAAAAACTGAGAAAGCAACAGGTAAGACAGAGAATCTAAAATACTTCCCATATCCTTTCCCTCTTACTTCACTCACCCTCTGTTCCTAATATTCTGCTACTTTTCTACCTTTTTAATTTCCTATTCTTAACTAAGCCCACCCTCTGCAATAAGCCCACCCTCTGCACCAAGCCCACCCTCTGCACTAAGCCCACCCTCTGCACTAAGCCCACCGTCTGTACTAAGCCCACCGTCTGTACTAAGCCCACCGTCTGTACTCAAGGGTTTCACATAACCTGACTTCAACCCTGCTGGGAAGAAGAGAAGGCCTGACAGTTATTAGCACCCAATGCTGCTCATTACAACAGTTACAGGAATTTTCTTTTGGTTTAGACACACCAGGATTCAAGTTTTTATTCAGCTTACTCAAATTATGTCTCAAAGCACTTATGAACTCTGGCAAACAATTTTCCTACCTTAGAAAGAGCCTCATCATGAACTACTGTGTTGGTTGTTAAGAGAACAAGAACTGTTTGAAGTAGCTTAAGTTCTTCAAGACTGTTTTCCATTAGTTGCCAAAGCATATTAATTATATTTCCAGCTGCAATCTGAAAAATAAATATTTGAGTTACTGTCAACAGATGGCATATAGCTCTAGGTCCTTATATAAGAAAATGTGTGTCAACCTTATTACACCTGGGGAGAATTTCTTCATCATAACAATATTTTGAAATTTACAAATCCAAACACATCGCTCAACAAATTTGAGAATTCACAAATGTATTTCTCAGCTAATTTGAGAATTTACAAACATCTCTCAACTAATTTGTAACTCAGAAACAATTTTCTCCTCAAATAAAAATTCTTTGAAATAACCCATTCAAAAACACACAAAAAAGCAGCATGTAATTTCTGAAATACTAGCCCAAATCCAAATTCATGCCTGCAGCATTTCATTTAACATGAATAATGTAGACATATGCAAAATATAAATCTCCTATTCCTTTAATCACTTCATTTGCAATATGAATTAAAACAATACAGCCCAAGTTAACAATAACTTGGACTCGCAAGTTAAATTTGGTACTGGGTAAGATGCTAGGGAACAGACTCACCACTTGTATACACTGTATGGAAACAACCATAATTAAAGTATTTTTGTAAGATGCAGATCCACGGTAATAAAGTATGTTTTATTTTACAAACATAAGTTTGGACACAAACGCTTAATGAACTACAAATTATCACTTGACAAAATCTAGGAGAATTTATTTTCCCACCTTTTCTAAGGATGTGCAAATCATATAAATTAACTCATCAATAATACAAAAATTTTGCTCCCCCAAATTACCGTGAAAATTACCAAACTGAAACTTCTTAAGCATGACTTGACAAGATGCAGTTCTTTATTATTCGTGAATGTTTAATGCAGCAACTTTGCAACATCTTTAGAGCTTCCTTCAAGCACAAAGCCATTCATAAGACTGCTTTATATTAAATGTCAGGAATCTATGTTTCAGAAGTCTCCCTTTTTGAGAGCTCCTGCTATGACTCTCAGCTACAGTTCACACAAGTTCTTGCTATTACCTCAGACACGACTTCATGGGACATGAGTCTCTGAATGGCAGCCAAGCACAGCTGAGTGATCTTCGGTTCCTTGGTTCCACAACCCATTAGAAAAGGCTGCACAACCTCTGAGCTGTTCTCTTTCAATGCTTTATACAGAACACATACAAAGCACAGTATTAAATCCAACTCATGATTAAACACAAATTTTTACATGATTACAACTAAATAATGACAATGTTAACAAAAAGCTGTTTTATATAAAATAAATACCAAATGAAAATTTAATATTAAGAGTTAAAACTTGGGCTAGATCCTACACTGAAACAACACTCCTTACTGACAGCTTTGCGCCAACTTTCGACTAACACCCTGCCCTCTGGTTCTCTTCCTCTTCCTCCTCCTTTTATTAACTCTGCAAGGACCTGGAGCCCCAAAAATTCTGTCCTAATTCAAAAAGCACTTTACTTCCTCAAGAAGTGCAGCAAGAAAAAGAAAGAATTCATTCTTTCTAAAGTAGGAAGAGTAAAATTTGTATACATTCTCACTAACATATTTGTAATATTCAGAAGCTTCCTAGAATATTATTGTATTTCTTAAATTTACACTCCACTAGTTTCTTCAAGAAATAAATGTATTAAAAATAAGAACATTTAAAAATAGAACATTACTCATTACCAAAAATAGATATATATACTAGTATGCCCATGATATAATTACAAGCTCTAAGTCCTTCAAGTCAACTTTTAGAAGTTTTAAAGTAGCAGCAGAAATGTAAGAGTTTAGGAAGTGCATAAACTGAATCATACATATGTAAGTTTACAAAACAAAATTAAACCAATCACAGTTATTGAAAGGCTATACAAAATAAGACCGATCGGTCATGCTTGGGGAATTTGAGTTAAAAACACAGAATTCCAAGTCAAGAAAACAATATATCAGCTTGATATTTGTTTTCAAATTCATTATGTTTTATCTCAAAACATAAATTCTGAGTTTTTAAATGTTTCCCAAAACCACTGAGGAAGTCATGCAGAATCACCCATTAAGTGTGCAAAATCAGTGTTAATTTTCTCTTATAAATATTCTCCTTTCCTCTCCCAAAGTCATTATTTGGAAAGTTAAACTAACAGTACAGCTTTCTACAGCACGGCCACTCTGTATTTCAGTATAAATCACTAACCTAACACTGCTTCCTAAAGAATTTCTTGGCCCGGCGCTGTGGCCTAGTGGCTAAAGTCCCTCACCTTGAACGCCCGGGATCCCATACTGGTGCCAGTTCTAATCCCGGCAGCTCCACTTCCCATCCAGCTCCCTGCTTGTGGCCTGGGAAAGCAGTTGAGGACAGCCCAAAGCTTTGGGAACCTGATCCCGGCGGGGGGAGATCTGGAAGAGGTTCCTGGCTATTGGCTTAGGATCAGCACAGCACCAGCCATTGCGGTCACTTGGGGAGTGACCCATCGGACGGAAGATCTTCCTCTCTGTCTCTCCTCCTCTCTGTATATCTGACTTTCCAATAAATAAATAAATCTTTAAAAAAATTTTTTTCGCTTTCTTATTTCCTTGCCCTGTTGTGCAGAAAGATTTGATTCAAACCTAGAAAATATTCCATAATAATGTCTCAAAAGAGTTTAAATGTTTAAAGAGATGACCATGGAAGATTTCATGAAATGATTAAATATCATATCATATCATATCATATCATATCATATCATATCATATCATATTTACTTCTGCCAGAAGTACTTGAGGTTATAACTGTTTCTGGTAAATACACATTATGAAATGTTAAAGTAAATACAAAGTTTCAACAGTAACAAGCTGCAGTTAGCATTTTTATAATCCAAACATGTTCCTGATTTTAAAATTCCAATAATCTTCCAGATAAATTCTTGAAGGGAATGATGTGTTTCAAATGATACAGTAAGCAGGTAATACAAACAGAATTTTAAAGTATTCATATGTCCTCTAACTTCCCTGTTTTTTCTACAACATTGTGCTGCCACTCTTCAGGGTAAACAGCAAGCTAAAAATACTTAAAAATCTGCACTTGAATGCTGTCTTCCTAAAATCTTGAGATAAAGAAAAAATAGCATTCTTTTAAGAGTTTAAGATGCCAATGACTTTTAAGACATAACTATAATATTACAAAGAAAGTCTGTGCCCATAAAATTACGACATAATGCTTTCTAAACAAAATTTTTCTTTACAATTTCATCCTTCAGACATCAACAGCACTGCGGACGCCTCTTATTTTGAGGAGTACTTTGCAGCTGTCACTCAAACTTTCTCCTAAACCACTGATAACGCTTCTGCACGCCTTGACACTGGCATTTTTCTGAGTTCACCAGCTGTTGTTAACAAAGCTGTTTTAGTTTGTTTAAATAACTAGGATGACATTTTAAATAACCATTAAACCCAACACTACACAGAACTCAAACAATGTGATAATAGGTGCCATCTACAAAGAAGTCCACATACCCATTGAAAAATAAAACTGTACCAATACCTGTCCCACAACAATTCTAAAGTGCCATTAATTATAAAATGAACAAAACAATTTGGGGGTTATTAAGAACCTTTCGTTTAAAAAATGTACATCGTGGGTCTTAAACAGTGGAGTAGTAAGCTAATCCTCTCCCTGTTAGTACCAGCATCCAACAAGGACGGCCAGTAGATGTCCCAGCTGTTTCACTTCCAATCCAGCTCTCTGTGGACAGCCAAGAAAAGCAGCAGAGGATGGTTCAACTCCTTGGGTCCCTGCGCCCTCATGGGAGGCCAGAAAGAAGCCCCTGCCTCCCAGCTTCAGATCACCTCTACTCAGGCCATTGTGGTCATTTATGAAATGAACCAGTGGGTGGAAGACCTGCCTCTCCCTCTCTCTGTAAAATCCACCTTTCTGTGCTCGCTTTGGCAGCACATATACTAAAACTGGAACAATACAGAGAAGATTAGCATGGTCCCTGCGCAAGGATGACATGCAAATTTGTTTCATATTTTTGCTGGACTGACACTGTCTGTACCAGCAATATCAGGGCACACTTAAAAAACAGACTGATGGACTCATGACTCCTTATGAAGGACTATATTATTGTAGCAATGTGGGGAAAATCAGTCACGTGGTGGGATTTTGGGAGGGGGAAATCCCAGACTCTACAAAATTGTACCATAAAATTCAAAAATGCAAAATAAAAAAAAATCTTTCAAAGAAAATGTGCATGTTAGAACCAATAAAATATGGTCTCAGTGAAATATTGAAAAATATCAGCTATAGCCACATTTGTGAAATTATAACAAAGTGGTAATAAAAATATTTTAAGCTTTATTTTCAAATAATTCAAAAGGACTGAACATTATTCTCTCCTTTCTGTTCACTTTCTTTTCCTCCCAACTCACATACAAATATAATGATAAAAAAGAAAGTTTCCCTGCTATATAGAACAGATGATCAACAAAACATTAACAAAACAATAAATCTATGTGTTTCAAAACAGTCTGAATTTAAATAAATAAATAAATAAATAAATAAATACCCAGCACCTCTAATTCACAAGAGAAAAATTCTAAAAAGTTACTGATTTGTTTTCCTTCTTTCAAAAGTAATAGTGATCCGGGCCCGGCGCGGTGGCGCAAGTGGTTAAGTCCTCGCCTTGCACGCCCGGGATCCCATATGGGCGCTGGTTCTAATCCCGGCAGCCCCGCTTCCCTTCCAGCTCCCTGCCTGTGGCCCCGGAAAGCAGTCGAGGACGGCCCAAGGCTTTGGGACCCTGCACCCGTGTGGGAGACCCGGAAGAGGCTCCTGGCTTCGGATCGGCATAGTATCGGCCCGTTGCGCTCACTTGGGGAGTGAATCATCGGATGGAAGATCTTCCTCTCTGTCTCTCCTCTCTGTATATCCGCCTTTCCAATAAAAAATAATAAAAATAAATCTTTAAAAAAAAAAAAAAAAAAAAAAAAAAACAAAAGTAATAGTGATCCTAGGAATGCAGAAATTACTATTATCTTCTAATAGACATTCACCATTTACAACAATTTTAATCATAAGCTATTTAAGTAGTTACACAGAAATGTCTTTAGTGGGCTACGATTTTAAAAATCACATCAAGGATTTATATGTTATTTCAAATAAAGAAAAAGGCTGCTTCTTTTCAGTCAAAACTGTCAGTTTCTAATAAAACATAAAAATAGGTTTAGAAGAAGGGGGGAAAAGTTGCATATTTTAATACCTCCACCCCTTAATCAGTGTTAACTCAGAATAATAATGTGTGTTTTATATTGTAACTGCATGTCATAAAACTATTACATCAAATGATATACTTTCACACACCTGAAAGAGGTCCAGCAGGTCCCCATAGCCTAGGGGTTTCCTTGCTCTGAGCAGTTTCACTGCATAATTGCAGTTTTTATCCTGGAAAAAGAGAATTAAACTAGGATACCCCACTATAAGTCACATTAATAGGGGTTAATAAAATTTCATTGTGATAAAATATAAGAGTCATTGAATAATAAATATAACTCTTATTTAAGAAATAAAGTGTATACTAGACGTTGTTTCTACTCTCAAAACACATTTAAAGTCCAGTTTGGGGGAACACTGGTATTCCTAACAATAAAAAATGCTGTGGTGTCAAAGTCTCAAGTTATATGTGAATAATTCAAGAATAAGACTATAAATAAAGGGCATGCCGCATCATATTTTAAAAGTACATTACAGGAAAAGAAAATGTTGGTACAACTGACTAGTAATTTTGAAGAGAAAAAAAAGTGGATCATCAGAAAACACATCACAGAATATTATAAAGAAAAAAGAACTAGAAAAAAATGACTATCAGCTGTGTGAGAAGGGCATCATACACACAGAGTAACAAAAGAATCTATAAAAATTAACACAAAACTAAAAAAAACCTAGGTTTTACAAAAGTAAAAGGTAAGTAACCTCAGAAAAACGTGATATGGGAAGTTAATATTTTTGCCAATCAGTAACTCAAAACAACTTGATTAAGAAAGTACAAAAACTGAAAATTTTTAAAAAATTGCGTGCAGAGAAAATATTCAATACCAAAAGCAAAATAAGAATTTATCTGCCTGCTCGCCAAAAGTTTTTAAAAATAATAATCCCAATCAGGTTTTACAAAAATACACTCACATACCATTTACAAAGGTACAACTTTTACCTTTTTGGAAAACATTTCTAGAAATTTAAACATATTCAAACTCTTTATCATTTTATTTCTAAAAATGTATCATAAAGAAATATCAAAACATGAAGAAATGATTAAACCACAATCCACTTTCTGAAATCTTACACAGCAATTAGAAACATTCTAATAGCCTCAAAGAAAACCGCAATATCATTAAGGACTGTAAGTTTAATTTTTAATTACACCATAGAGAAACTATGTAATCACTTTAACCCAAAGGGTCAATTTGTGGGCATGCCTTATGAATCACAGATCCCATGTCTTTCAACCTAAATTACAGAAATAGCCTTGTAACAAAACTCCACCTCCATAATGGCACACTGAAATATATTCTCTACACTGGTGTCACAGTAATTTACTTAGTAATATAAATGTGAAAACGTCACTTCCCTGAATCAGTTTCTTTCCCGTCAAGCTGCTCAGGCTGTTACACAATGGACCATATTATCTCCCCGTCACTGATTCCCTCCCGATCCTAGTGTGTTTGAATGCATGACATAGTTGTTCCTGTCTATCTGCTCTCAGAAGCCTTTGTTTTTCATATCTGTACTTTCTCGGCTGAACTGCTCCAGTTCAGGCCTCAGAATGCAGCTTAAGATTCCCCAGGCTCGGCTAGGTACCTTCCTTGGGTTTCCAGAACAACCATGTCAAAACTTCCACTTCAACCTTTTTCATACAGTATTAGAATTTTGTGCTTAAAGTATGTTTCTGTTATTTCTCTGTTGCCTGGCTGTCATGAACTATAAATGAAAAAGCTCATGTATTCAAGTGATAGTAGCATGTAAAATTAAAGACTGGAATCTCAGGGTGATTCACTAATTAACCTACATTTTATGAGGGCTTATTATTTCTCATGTAATGGGACAGATACTGGTAATACAATATAGTAAGATATTGTTCCGGATATCAGGCAAAATGTCATTTGAAAGGCAAAGCTTCTGGAAGGACTTGAGAAGTCAAATGAAGGAACAGGAACGCTATGAGAATGAATGGCACAAGCGTAAGTAGTCTTTGTATTAGCACAGGGACTGGAGGTGAACTACATCACTCATCTATGTATCCTACCTAGTGATTCTGGCACAATTTACTAAGAAAATACCTGATATATATAATATGTTCCTATAGATATACTGATATACATATATATATATATAAGTATAAAAAATCACAAGTGTACATACGGATAAGATGGAATATACAAAATAAGCAGATAAACTATCTTTAAATGTCAGAAAAAATTCCAAGGCATTTATTCATTGTTAGTTACAAACACTTTAGTTACGATATGTAAATTGAAAGATATGAAGGAAAACCATGTCAGAAAATAAAAATCATACAAAAGGATTTTTTACATATAAATTCTCTCTCTATATATACTGTATATATATACATACATTCTCTCTCTCTCTCTCTCTCTCTCTCTCTCTATATATATATATATACACTGACAGTAGCTGAAAGCAGCCATGGGAAAATGTTAAATTCACAATTTCTAAAGATATCACAACTGCACAGGTTTCCTTCACCCAATCTATATGCCAGAAGTTGTCTGCATAGTTTTTAAGTAACACATGCCTTCCAGTTTCTAGCATAATGTAAGACAGAATAATAAACACAGTCATATTACACTATCATCAAATGTAAGAGTAAGGCATTTGGTCTTGTAAGGGAAAACTTTGCACTATCTTTCACTTGTAGAGTCTTACTTTGAAAGAAAAAGAAAATTGTGAGACAATGATTTGTATATCTGAATCAATGCTGACATTACCTGGCATAGCATTCCCACCTATGTCAGCATTCATGACAGCAGTGAAAACAAAGAAAAGTAAAGATTAAAGGAGGATGCTTAAAAGAAGTAGTGATGTAAAACAAATATTTACTTTGCAATATAAATAATCTGCCCTTGGGAAAATAAATCTATGAAAACTAAAGCTGGTGAGAAATCTACACTGAATATCAGTACTTTGACTAATTCATTGTAATTAAAAATTTTGTTTTTTTCCTAGCAATTATTTACAATTTCTTGAACTTATGAAAACATACAAGAATTCAATATCCCATCTCATCTGAGACCCCTCAATTGTTTAGTATCTCTGATTTCCGTTATATCAAAAGTAGTATTCTATAGTCTCCTACAGTATCAAGTACCATAAAGAATGAAATACTTATCAGGAAATAAAACATTCAAAATTATGTTAGTATTAATTGTACTCTGAGTTAACTTTGTAGTCCAGGAACTACACACTAATTCAAATTTTCTTTGTTTTTAAGAGCTTTCAACTTCTAAGATTACAGTGATCTATGAATCTATCATTTTTAGGTATTAATTGAGCTAAATGTTTGGGAAAAAAATATTAGGAAAAAGTTTAAATGTTAATACTCTCCCCAAGTGCATGTCTCTGGATACAATGGAGATTAAAGTTTGGACTATTACTTACTAAATGTGTATGAAAATCCAACTCGATTTGAATAAAGCTAACTGAATTAAGATGAAATTAACAATCCACCTATAAACTAAACTCCTATCAAATGAGTCAAAACTTTCATGTTCATCCTTAAGATTAAACAACTAAACATATTACTCAGAAGTAACACTTGGGAGTATCACTGGATACTAAAAATAAAACTAATCAACTACAGAAGCACTGAAACTTATTGAAGAATTAAGGAGACCATGATATTACCAATGGTAATAGCAAGATAAACATTTACAATGTTATTGTAACACAACTGGCTTCTAACAAGTCTTCAACTTCAAAATATCCAGGTCATAATTTATCTTTAAATAATAATATCCCGATAACAACCAACCTGCCCAATAAACATCTCTGAAAAAAAGACTAGTCCACTATCCCCACCCAACCACATACACTTTCACCTTCGATCACATCCCTTCTCAATATGCACACAGAGCATTATTAACTGCTACGAATAATGTTCTAAAACTACTAGGTATTTTGAAAAAATGTTCAAAATCTGAAGAGCTGTGATAAATAGGTAACATTTAAGAAAGCTAACTCTAAGGGCAAATTTCCAGCAAAGCCAGTTGCCTAATGAAATTCATTCTCGCTTCCCATCTAAACCATCCCCCCAAAAGTCTCCATCTCATTTTGCAACACTCTGAAATCCTACCAGGTAGGGATTTAGTTGTATCCTCTTTTTTTTTAAAGTTCATGAAAATTAAGAGATTCTTTACCATTTGAACTGTTAACAGGACTGCTTTTCTCCTATACTAGCTGAGAGCAATAGCACTACTCAAACTGGGAATACAGTAAAACAAGCAACAATTAAGTACGAAACATGTGGGAGGGACAACCAGTGTGGAAACCATGCCACACCACAGCAGCACACTGCACCAGGAAAAGCAAGACTACTGAATCTGCTTCTACCACTGATCACGTGACCTTGAGGAGCTGCTTAATTTTGTTGCATCTCAATTTGCTTGACCATAAAATATTATTATTCTACAGCGTCTTATTATGTTAGAGCAGCGTAAGTTACCACACCTACAACATACTCTCAAAAAGAAAAAAAAAAGTAGCTTTCCACTTTTCCATGTTCATTGCTAACACAAGAAGCCGAGAAGTAAATGGAGAAAAGATGCCAAAAAGACGTTCTTGAAATTCTTCCTTGAAAATGAGGTTCAATCAAGAAAAGATAAGAAAATACTCGTGCTTCATTTCTCCACCCCACCCTTATTCATCACTGATGACCATACTGCTTCAGTCCCAGGTCTCACATACATGTGGTATATAATACTACATTATAAACTGTTAATATTATGTTAAGGACAAAACATGTCTTAGAAGGTGGACTGAAAACCAATCTTCCATTCAATTCAGTGTGACAAATATTAACTGAATACCTTTTATGAGTAAGGCGCGACAACAAAAAAGATGACTACTAAGAAAAAATCCTTGCCTCAAAGCCATTCCAGAGAATTATCTAGCAGTCATCTCTAGGAAACAATAAAATACACAAACTGGGCTGTTTATATGCTCTATATCCTTAAGAATAAAATAATAGGGTGTAAGGAAGAGATGTTACAGTAGGAAAAATAGTAGAAGTAGAATTTTACTTTCAAGCAAATTTTACTAATTTCATTAGTCATTGAATTTTTAATGTATAACATTACCTGCCAAAATTTCAGTGTTTCGTGCAGCTATTGTTTTAACCTTTATAATTCCTGATTCAGCAGCCTGCAAGAATAAAAATAATCAAACATAAAACTTACTATCAATATAAATTATCATGGTAAAGAAGTCATATAGAATAGACTTTCAAGCACAAATAGTCACTCACTGTCACCTTTTTTATTTTTAAAACATCAGATACTAACCCTAGTAGTGACAAATACATTAAGTACATACAATGATGGATTTGACAATTTACAAGAAAATTCTGCACTACAGATGTTGCCTTTCCATACCTTAAGGCATGTTTGAAATACCAAAATCACAAATGGTTGGAAAATAAATTTTTTTAAACTAATGAAAAATTAGATCCCGCCTCTCCATTTTATAGCATCCCTCTCCAACATTAAAAAAATTCCAAAACACTGCAAACTCAAGTCTACTGTTTTGAACATAGAAAATCAGTATTACTTCTGAGAGCCAAACATTTTATAAATTAATACTCATTTCCATTTTCATATTTAAAACAGCTGATTATATTATGTTTAAGTGGTAATACTGATTATATATTTTGCAAAATCTCCCAAAACTGTACTGTCCAATATATTCACCATTAATACACGTAGCTATTAAGCACTTTCTACACTCCTAGTCTGAATTTGATATGTGGCTATGCCCTAAGTATGAAACACAAAACAGATTTTGAACACTTAGTATTTTTTTAAAAGAATGTAAACTATCATCTAAGTATTATATAGGCTATATGTTTAAATACCATTTTGAATATGGACTAAATACCAGGGCACTAGAAAAAGTACACGGAAAAATACAATTACTAGGTAAAAATATTTTGGCACAATTTTTGAAATAGTTTTTTTCACAATATACTCTTTGTGTAGAAGTTTTGAGAACCCCTCATATGCATGGATTTCAAAAAGTTTTACACCAAAATAAGCTCCTCTTTCAATTTCTTTTTCCGTGAATTTCTTGAAGCATCTTTCCACATATGCTATTCTTTTCATTTTAAAGCCATTTATTTTTCTTTTTATTTTTAAATAATAAATTCATCTTATTCTTGATGTTTAAACAGTTGAGAGGGATGCATGCCATGTGAACCATCGATTAGCAGGGCTAAGGAACGGGAAAAAGTAGATGAGAACATTTATGCATCAGGGTTCCCTTAACCACTATATCTGCATCATACCAAGGGGCTGGCCTGTCTTTAGAAGTATAACCTAGAAACAGAGGCCTTCAGACTCAGAATTCCTCCCACTCGTGTTTTTCAAATCTAGTGGGAAGAAAGGTCTATATCTTATTGCTTTTAAAATAACACCCTACTTCAATCAGAAATAATGCATATCAATAGGGAATCTACCCAACTGCAAATAACGCCTGGCTGAAATTAGACTAATGCTGGGACCAGTGCCATGGTTTAGTAGGTTAACCTTCTGCCTTTGGTGTCAGCATCCCATATGAGTACCAGTTTGAGTCCTAGCTACCCATTTCCAATCCAGCTCCCTGTTTATAAGCCTGAGAAGGCAGTGGAGTATGGCTCAAATCCTTGGGTCCCTGTACCCATGCAGGAGACCCAGAAGAGACCCCTGGCTCCTGGCTTTGGATTGGATTACCTCCTGTTGTATGTTCATTTGGGGAGTGAATCAGTGGCTGGAATATCTCTCTCTGTGTGTCCCCTCTTCTCTCTGTAAATCTGTCCTTCAAATAAAAATACAATAAATCTTAAAGAAAAAGAAAAAAATGGGGCCAGAGTAGGCAGAGTAACCCTCCTTCCTGTGGTGCCTGCATTCTATATGTGCTCTAATGCGTGTCCTGGGTGCTCCACTCTCAGTCCAGCTCTCTGCTTATGGATTGAGAAGGCAGCAGAGGACGGCTCAAGTCCTTTGGACCCCCCACCCACAAAGGAGACCCAGAGGAAGCTCCTGGCCACCAGCTTTTATCAGCTCAGTTCTGATCATGTAGACATTTGGGAAGTGAACCAGTGCATGGAAGACCTTTTCTCTATGTCTTCCTCTCTTATAAAATCTGCATTTCAAACAAAAGTAGTAAATTTTAAAAAGAAAAACTAATGCTAACAAATTGCAGGGAGTTATACAGTGATCAAACTTTTCTAATTTGGGCACCCATCTGGACCCAACAAGCCTAGACAGATATCATTTCTTCCATCACCTTTTCTGTAATAAATAAGCTTCTGTAGCTTCTGTATGTCAGTGTTTGACTCCTGTATTACTTTACTCCCTTCATTCGATTATGCTCTGCATAATAGCCATAAGCTCCATAAAAAACATCTCATTCATCTCTCTATAATTAATGCCAATCACAGTGTTTTTCATGCAGGAGCTACATAATAAATGTTTTTAAACAAATAGAAAGGTTCTAAATAGTATCAAAATGAACTGGTGTTACACAAGTACATATAAATGTCAATTTAAACTTATTTAAAAAGGGGGAGGGAGGGAGAGCAAGGGCTCTATCGACTCAATAACTGAAAATATCCAGAGAAACTCTGCTCCAGATGTTCACCGTGCCATGAAGGGCTGCAGCTCAGCCTCTCCGCTAGTCTTCCGGTTTGGGCCTGTTTTGGTTCAGTCTCAGGATGCTTCCAATCTATACATCAAAAATAGCTACAGTCTATTTTTTTTTTTAAGCATTTATCTGAAACACAAAGAGAGAGAAAGATCTTCTATTCACTGGCTCACTCCCAAAATGCCCACACAATAGCATGAAGCGAGGCTGAAGCCAGGGACCCTAGGAGCTTCCCAGGTGGGCGACAAGGATCCATGGATTTGAGCCATCAGGCACTGTCTCCTGGGATGAACACTAGTAAGAAGCTGGAGTGGAAGCAGTTCACCAAAACTTTTGAGGCACTCCTGTACTGGAAAGTTTAAACTAAATTAAGCTGATCAAGATATCAGTCAGAACTGAGATCAATTACTCTAAATCCCAAAGCTTAAAAGTGAGGGAAGGGGGACTCAGAGCAGGTGGCACAATTTCTAAATCCCCGCCTTGCATCTTGCGGGATCCCATATGGGCTGTGGTTTGTGTCCCAGCTGCTCCACTTCCCATCCAGCTCCCTGCTTGTGGCCTGGGAGGGCAGTTGAGGATGGCCCAGAGCCTTGGGACCCTGCACCCATGTGGGAGACCTGGAGAAGCTCCTGGCTCCTGGCTTGGGACTGGCTCAGCCTTGGCCATGAGGCCACTTGGGGAGTGAAGTAGCAAAAGGAAGATCTTTGTGTTTCTCCTCTCTGTATATCTGCCTTTCCAATAAAAAAATAACTTAAAAATAAAAGTGAGGGAAGAGTATAGCCTAGCACTTGCAGAAGCAAAAAGGAATGAGTGTTCAGGAGGGAATAACGTGCCCACTGCTAGTACTATGTACAGGGTTACATAAAAACGGTCTTTTTTAAAAATGTTGCTTCCCTTCACAAAAGCTCCTGTTGTTTTAATCATATTTCTCACAAGAATAAAGTTCCAAATTAAGATATATTTGCTAGTGGTACAAATTAACTATTCACAGACTACAGCATGAACCAAGAACTAAAGAAATGTGAAATTCGAGTTAATGACAACTTAGGTAAAATCATGTCTTCATCAGGCAGTAGGAAAATAGAAAAGTTGCTGGAATACTTCCAGATGTCAGTTAAAATCAAAAGACCTAAAGCGAAGACAGCACTTAAGAGTACTTAATAGGTCTAGAATACTCCCTAGAGGACACTATCCTCATAAAACAATTATTAAATTGAAAGCAATCAAATTTTCTTCACGCTTACTATACATCTTTAAGGTTTCTAATATGCATATGTATGCGTGTGTACACACACAAACTCTTAAATGGCCATCCATTCAAACTGACTGGTTTGGCCCCAGTGAGATAGCCTAGTGGCTATAGTCCTCACCTTATACCCACTAGGATCCCATAGGTGCACTGGTTCGTGTCCCAGCTGCTCCACTCAAATCTAGCTCCTTACTAATGCACCAGGGAAAGCAGCATTTAGATCCATCACCCAAACACAATTCCAGGCTCCTGATTTCAATCAGGCCCAGGTACAGTTATTGCAGCCACTCAGAGAGTGAACCAGCAAACAAAAGATATAGATCCCCCCATCTGAGACTCTGCCTTTCAAATAAATAAATATGGAAATTTAGTCTTCAACAACTATCTAACTAGATTGCTGATGTATACAAATGCTTTGCTCTAAACACAATGCAATGCTAACACAGTTGTTTTAAAAGGAAAATACTGGGTCCGGCATGGCAGCCTAGCAGCTAAAGTCCTCGCCTTGCACGTGCCGGGATCCCACATGGGCGCCAGTTCTAATCCTGGCAGCCCTGTTTCTGATCCAGCTTCTTGCTTGTGGCCTGGAAAGCAGTCGAGGATGGTCCAAAAGCCTTGGGAGCTTGATTCCACATGGGAGACCTGGAAGAAGTTACTGGCTCCTGGCTTTGGATTAGTGCAGCTCCTACCATTGCAATCAGTTGGGGAGTAAATCATGAACAAAAGATCTTCCGCTCTGTCTCTCCTCCTCTCTGTATATATGATGATCTGAGGAAAAGACAGACTTGTTTCCAAGCAGTTTGATGGAAGTATGTGGAAGGCATTAACAGATGTGCTCCACGGGCAGCCGGGAACAGAGGAGAACAGCGGGCTCAGGAGTGAGCAGTACCACAGCGAGGCCCGAAGCAGCAGGAAGGTTGCCACCAGCAAGGTAACCAAGAGTTCATGGGAGGCAGAGGAGAGCACTCGGAGAGGAGAGACGGGCACAGAAAGTTAACAAAAGTCAAAACACAGCAGTTCCAAACAGAAAGGATCACCGACAGCAATAAGCACGGCAGATGCAGGAGGGCAGGAACTAGCTAGGCAGGCTGTAAAAATATGTGTACCACGGTACAGTGGGAACGAAGCAAGAGTTAAAGGTGGATGCACATGGATTCACACATTAGTCCTTTCACTTTTCAGTTTTACTACCTTATGTAAATTACCAAACCTCCCTAAACCACCATTTCCTCATCCATAAAAACAAATACCTAAAATACTGCATTAGTCAATGAAT